GTTCTGTGTACCATTTTAGAACACACCAGATTTGGTGATCTGTGCTGTTGTCTGTATTTTTTCTACTACCTAGACTGTATTTACCCACACTCCCAGCTCTCTCTCTCTCTCCCGTTTCCAATCCACCTTTAAAATTCAATTTAAGTGTCATTTATTCAGGCACTCCTTCTTAGGCACTGCCTCTCAGTTTGTAGGTATGCCTCTGATAGAATGTATTACACTGTATTTGAATTGCTTACTTGTATCTGTTTCTCAGACACGTACATGTGATGACACAAAGCACAGATAAATGTGGTACATCTTCCTGGAGTGTCCATTTTACATGGTGCTCAGTCATTTAGAATGTTTATTAATGTAAAACAAGCACAGCTATATTATGGAGCAGCACACAAAACCACATACATCTAAATAGTCAATTTCACTGGGAAAAAAGGGGAGGGATATTCTAGATTAAGAGGCCCTAGAGAAATGGAATAGTTAAATGCATGAAACTTAATGATTGACTCCAGATTGAAAAAATAGCTATAAAAGATATTTTTCATGTTGGAGAAATTTAATATGATCATCAGACAGTATTATGAAACTGCTGTTAATTTTCTTAGGTGTGGTAATGATACTGTTATGAAAGAGAATGTTCTTGGGAGATGCCTGCTGTAGTGTGTAGGAATATTTGTGAGTCAAGAATTATGATGTCTGCATCTTACTTTCAATAGTCATTAAGTTGTACGTGTGTGTGTGTGCATGCAGTGTGTGACACAGTGAGATTACTGAATTACTGAATCTAGGTTGACATATATATAGATATTCACTATGTTAATCTTTCCATTTTTAGGTTTGAAAGTTTAAAAATGAAAAGTTGAGAAGGGGGATACCATATACTTTATAGATCCAAGGTAAGATCTCAAATATATTAATTTCAGCAGTCCCTCCTGCCCCAGTTCCTACTTCTCTACCACTGAAGACACTTGTGAGGAAAAGTGAGAGGTCAATGATTTTTATTTCTCTCTCTACCATTCTACCCTGTGAGCTCCCAAAGAGGCTATGACTCAGTCATTTCTGTATTCTCAGAGTCCAGCACAGGGCCTGCCACTGAGGGGTATTGAATAAATACTTCATGAGTGAACAAAACCACGAACTTAATATGCATGTGACCTTTGGGAAACTCTCTCTCTTCTCAGGTTTCCCTCATGCAAAATGAGGCTAGACTAGATGTACCTGTAAGATCCTTTCTAGCTCCAGCACACCTCTGGATGCTATACTTGGGGCTTTGAAGGAATCAGAGATCTTTTTTCTATACAAAGCCCCAGAGTCACAGGCAAAAATGACTACAGTGAATCAATGTCTGCTCTTTGGCCAAGCTCCTAAGTTTTAACTCATCCATGGGCTTTGGGTGAAGTGTTCTGACTCTCACACAGACCATATGTCAGAGCAGTGGTTTCCCTGAGAGCCAAGCGATGGGAGGTGAAATCATCTTGGCTTTACGCTGCCGTCCTAGGTAGGCTACAGCCATGGCCAATACTACTAGTGTCCTTGACCTTGATTTCAAATTACAATCACCTAAGGAAGCTTTAAAAAACACTGATGCTTACCCCAGAGATTCAGATTTAATTGGTCAGGGGTATGATCTATCTGGAGTTTAAAGGCTCCCCTGGTGATTCTAATGTGCATTCAAGGTTAACAGCGACTAAGGCCTAGCTTGTGGTGATGGGGTAAGTGCTCTAGCTGGGTTTACATTCTGGATTTGCCACTTACTAGCTGGTCCATCTTGGGTGTTACTTCTCCTCTTTGAGCTTGTTGCCCACATGTGGCAATGAAGTGAGATAATGCATGTACAGCACTAAGCTAAAAAGAACAGCTAAATACTTAAGGATTACTACTAATGAAGCCTCTATGGGTGGGTGGGAGGGGGAAGATTACAACTTTCTGAGCCTGTAGCGCAGTGGTTCTACAACTTGCATCAGAATCACTTGGAGGACTCGTTAAAACACTGCCCAACACCCTCCTCCAAAGTTTCTGATTCAGTAGGTCTCAGGTGGGGCTCTAGAAACTGCACTTCCAGCATGTTCTCAGGTGCTGCTGTTCCGGAGACCACACTTTGTGAGTCCCTGCTCTAGAGCAGGGTTTCTCAATAACATCACTAATGACATTTTGGAGCACATAATTCTTTGAGCATCTCTGGCGCCTACCGACTAGATGTGCATAGAATCTTTCCCGGTTTGACAAGAAATGCGTCCAGATGTTGTCTAATGTTCCTTGGGCAGCACAACTGCCCAGCTGAGAACTACTGCTCTAGAGAGTGTAAGTTACAGAAAAATCTAAGAGCCTAGGTGGGTTGCAGAGGCAAGTGAGGAAAAGAAGTTGAAACCTAGGAAGACGAGTACTTGGGGCACAGATGGTGGATGCCCACCCAGGGCTTTCTCAGAGAAGGATCATTATGGGGTCTGGTGTACAAGTGAGCTCAGAACTGACTTCATTTGGTCCTGCAGAAATGGTGTCTGTCTTTTAAGTCTGGCCCTTCCCTCTGCCCTGGGACAGCTGTCAAGCCCTGAGGTCTCTTGGAAGGAACAATTATGTCCTAACTCAAATGGCCTGACAGTCTTTCCCTAAGGCTCAACTGCCTGCAGCCCCAACCTGCTCGGCGCTCTCCCTTTCCCCTACCTCAATTTCCCGTCCACCCACCTTGAGATGTAACAAGCAACAGACTGGGTTGATCAGTAAGAAAAAAATAAGCAGTTTTGCTGTGAAGAAGCAACTCTGATGAGAGTCCTGACCTGTCCAAATCCACCTCCCTGACAACTCAGCCCACAACTCAACCACCCAGCTGACAAAAGGTCTGACTCTTTAAGCGCCAACAGCATTAAGTGCTAGAGACAGTGGAAGTTGTAAGGGGAAATTAACTGAAAACCAGAGATGCCATACTCATTCGGGAGCACTCTCTCTCTCCCAAAGTGAGAATACAATTTGCACCCTCTGGGGATGTTTTATACTCAAATCTTTTCCCCCAGGCTAGGGTCTCTAGGCCCTTTCAAATTCTAAGTGTGCTGCTATTTCCTCCTAATGGCTTCTATCCAGGCTTTGAAGAAGGCACCTGGGAGTGAAGAGGCTGAGGTTAGGGGAAAGCCCTTGCAGTCCCCAGTCTTGGCTCTTCCCAGTCTTGCCAACTTCTCAAGGGACTGGTAGGCTTAAAAAGTGCAGTGTCAAGGGTCAAGCCTCGTTTTAGCCCAAGCAGCAATGAGGGTGGAGGGGGGAACTGGACTAATTCCAAGGTATGTGGACCTGGTGTTTAAAAAGGATTAGAGAGGAACCTGTGATAGTACTAGAGGCATAAGACAGCTTGCAAACCATCTTTGGCCAAATTTCTCCTTGTTAAAGGCATGTATAACCATGTGTATTATAGCTCAGGCCTGAAATCACTCTTTCATCAGGCCTGAGTCACCCATTCCCTTTGAAGATCCCATTATACTTCATATATTGAAGGCTCTCAACAGTCCTGCAGGGAAGAGACCTGTTATTTAACCCAGTCCTTCTCAATTTTACTTGAGCAAGAGATCTTCATGCCCCAACATACTGACATGGCTGGGAAACAGTGTTCTATGGAAAACACTGCAGGAAAGCTCAGCCTCTAGGATCAAGTACATTTCTTAATGTCCCTGTGTGGAAAAAGTGAAGGTTCCTGTGGCCAGGATTCTCACCTGGCCCTGGTTGGCTAGCTCACTACACACATGTGGGCAATACGTCATTATTGACTCTATATAGAGAGCCCTGCCCAGTGCCCTGGGTGACAGAGTGGCATGACTGCAAGGCTGTGGGAGAGCAGAGGCTGGAGTGGTGGCAGTGCTGAGGCCAGAGACTGAGACGGGTGCGTGGGTAGAGAGCCTCAGAGGCAGAGAATGGCTTGCTGCATGCAGAATGGCTCACTGTGAGTGGATGGGAGTCTAGTGATTGACCTGCTGCCATGGGAATAAAGTTGGGTATAACCCTTTCACCCCAAGAACGTTCTACTGTCATTTCTTTGGTCACACTGAATCCATAGTGAACTTGCCTGGGGCTGAAACCCATTGGCAAGACACCCTGTCAGTTTAGGTGAGAAAGACAAGCAGAATGATAAAAAGTCCTAGACAATGTCACGACCCAGTTACACCAAACTTTCTCATACTCCTTTTGAGTTTTTCATGCAGCATTATAGCCACTGTCATTTCTACCTGCTAAGACTGCACCAACTCTGCTCACATTAGGGACAGTGTAGGGACTATGCTTAGCAAAGTGCTCTGGGCAGGGGGCAGAGTAGACACAGATTCTGCTCATAAAGATCACGTAAAAGTACACAGCTACCAGGTTCTTTATACCTTATTTATCACCTCTTGGCTGCTATGCTCCTAGCAGAAGAGAAGTATTTTTTTTTTAACATTCTTTTTTTTAATTTTGGTATCATTAATCTACAATTACATGAAGAACATCATGTTTACTAGGCTCCCCCCTTCACCAAGTCCCCCCTACATACCCCTTCACAGTCACTGTCCATCTGCATAGTAAGATGCTGTAAAATCACTACTTGTCTTCTCTGTGTTGCACAGCCCTCCCCGTGCCCCACACACACTATACATGCTAATCGTAATGCCCTCTTTCTTTTTCCTGCCCTTATCCCTCCCTTCCCACCCATCCTCCCCAGTCCCTTTCCCTTCGGTAACTATTAGTCCATTCTTGGGTTCTGTGATTCTGCTGTTTTGTTCCTTCAGTTTTCCTTTGTTCTTTTACTCCATATATGAGTGAAATCATTTGGTACAGAAGAGAAGTATTTGTTACTGATAATTATTCTGTCATTTTCATGAAAGCAAGTAAGCCTAAAAGCTAAGAAAAGGGCGGGGGGAGCCCCCAGAATAGCCCAGTAAACAGATGTTAGGAGTTTAAATAGATTTTATCCCATGGTCACATCATGCCCTGCTCAGATTTACACCCATCAAGACTAAAAAAAGGACAGCAATAAATCCAATCCACATGGGTCTTATAAAAATGCATCTATTTGGTTTTTAATACAAAAAACTCAGAGAAACACAAAGAAAATATCATATAAGCCAGTTATTGAATTAAAAAAAATGATCCCCAACAAACAAATTTCAGTAACATTCCCTATCTTCAGCCTGCATTAGAAAACAGGACAATATAAACCAACCAATGTTTGTCCCCTTGAAGAAACCCTATTTTTTTTTAAAAAGGAGGAAAAACTCCCCAAACAGTCCCTGAAATCTGGCAGGTGGTTTTTAGAGGTCACTGCAAGCTTGCCTTAATCATCCTGGTGGAATGGGAAACAAGTGGTTGTTGGAATAGAGTCACCTCGGCCTGGTTTCTTGCTAGTAATGATCTTAATCTGAAGGTAGGATGCTGGCCTGGGCATCATTTGATGCTATGTATGCAGACTGAGGTCTCAAGGTCAAGTAGCCTTGCAGTCTTCCATCCTGTATCTTCACTGAATCTCCCCCATATAGAGTCTCTTGTCACTGGATGCCGAGAGAACTGAGGGGAAAAGAACAGAGAAGATAACTGGAAATAACGAAGGCTCAAGGAGACTTGGTGCTCAAGGGCTCTTGTGTCAAGAGCCAATTTTGGTATAAAAGAACAATTGGATTTAGCTTAAATTCCCCTCCTTCTAAACACCATTCACAGGAAGCCTGGCTTCTCAGTCCAAGTCCTCTCAAAGCCACAGGGGTGAACTGTGCTGTGGGGAATAACATTATCAGGGCCTAAATCCTGATGTTCCTCGTCAGTCAGCCCTAAGAAAAGGACTTTCTCAGTTATTCTAGAGGAGAATCATCTGTACCAGTCACAATGTAAATGTGCTTCTGCTTGTTACACTTAGCCTGCAAGAAAGTTACCTGTTCACCTTAAATTCAAGGCCCATTATTTAATTAGCTAGCCAATAAAACATAAGTCACAATATATAACTGAATATTAAGAAAATCAATCTTTTATCCATATATATCAATGAAGCATAGACTTGAAGCAAGTAAATTCAGAAAAACTAGAAATAGACTGACCAATCTCCCTCTGAGCTTGAGAAGAAAATGGAACATTGCTCTTACCCTCACCACTTAGAATGAGGGTGAGGCTGTCAATGATGTCCATAAAGACTGCTTGTATGGAAATTTGCATAACACAGATGTCCTCCTCTGCATCTCAGGGCCCTTTTAGGAAGATTCCCACAGCTTCCCCTTCCCCATAGTCAAGACAGACTTACTGATGGGCTCGTCAGGGTGGAAAGCCACTTCATTGATGGAGCCAGCATGTCCAGGCAGCTTATACAAAATCCTCCTGCTTGTGGTATCCCACACATACACAAACCTGTAAAGTATCATGAAGAGCAAGGCTAAGGCCTCCTGGAGCAGAGGGGAGGGTAGAGGCATGGCTTTTCAAGGGAAATGGAAACAACAATTTATTTATTCACGCTATACTGAACTGTTAGGAACTAGAAATACAGACTTTGAATTAAGGCATAAACCCTGCCCGAGAAACAGGAATAGCTAAAAATATAAGCATTACTGGCATTTCTAAACACAAGCTTCTGAAATAAGAAAGAACATGAAGAAAGACAGTCTTTCCTACATATGCCACACAGAAATTGTCTTCAAAGAACATCAAATATAATTAGGCTATCATTAACCTCATATGTAGTCAGTAATGGCTTAAAGGTAACCCAACTTATGACAGGCTGGGAGCCTAGGTTGTAGATCCACCTGAATTTCTTAGTATTGTATTAAAATCAGAGCCCAGAAAAGGGACAGGATATAAACATATATAAACATAGACCAAATATACACTTGACTCAAATCTTGCACTGAATTCATAGGCAGAAAGAATACTGAATTCTAGCATGGGAAAGGACCAAAAGAAATCAACTAGCCTAAATTATTTTATAGATAAGAAAATTAAGATACAGGGACTTTTCTACGGTGACACAGTTCATCAGCAGCTCCTTGGCAGAACTACTATTAGACCTCTTAAGGTATTCCAGCATTCTCCTTTCTCTTACCACCCTTAAACACCTTGTCTCCATCCTTTCCCTTCCAACCCCAAAGAAGTTCTTCTGACCTTCAACTTTGCTTGGGTAATTTTAAGTTGACTGGTAAAATAAGAAGATATTATCTTTGTATGACCATGCAAAAATAATCTGTAGGTAAATTTAAAGGGCTGGTGGTTTTCAAGCAAGTAAGTTATAAAAATTATTTACATATTGGTTCTTTTCAGTTAACACCTAAAAGGGCACACTCACCAGTACTTGAGTGTAAAATGCCTAGTTCTCATGCAACATCACAGTTTTGGTTTAAAATGCAAATAAATGAGATTTACACTCTCAATTACACTTTAGTTCTCAATGGCGAGGTTCCATAGGAACTAAATAAGAGTTCTGAGCAAGATGAAGAGAAACAGGAAACCCCATCTGTCTACAGAATCCTTGGCTCTGATGCTCATGTTCTCCCTACTGTCTTCTTTCTTGCTGTGCACAGATAGCTGTCCTCATTAATCCAGCAAAGGGCCATGTGGCATAGTGAAAAACTGTATGGACTCGAGTCAAAAAGACCTGGGTTCAAGTTTCAGTGAAACTATAATAGCTAGCTAAGAAACCTTAGATATTTACTTAACTTCTCTGAGCTTCTCTTCCCTTAGTTGTACTGTGCAGACAATAATGATCTCACAGTTTGGTTGAGAGAAATAATGAGATAATGTATGCAAAGTCTTGGCACACAGAATTAATAATAGCTATTGTTATGGATGGATACATTTGTAATCAAAGCAGAATCTCATGAAGTTAACAGACTACATCACTCATAGCAGAGACAAGCCAGTTTTTCCTATAGTTATTGACAGGACTGTTGAAAAGTCTCAAGTTTAAACATGAGGAGATAGGTGACTTGGAAGTGGAGAAAGGAGACTTGACAAATCCAGGCCACACTGAAAAGCAGTGGATACATTTCCCAGGCACACAAAAGCCAACAGAACCCCAGATCTCCAAGGATTTACTTCAAGGCCTCACTCTCCATGGTGGCCAATTAGATGCTAAATTTAGGGGGTTCCTTGTCCTTTCTTTACTTTGGCATGGCAGCAGTAAGCAGGAACCAGGCTCCTCATGTAACAAAGCTGCATGCTGACTTGGGGCTAACTGGTGAGGTGGTCAGTGAAATTTGGCCAACCTCAACAGGTACACATGCAGGCTTTCCCCAGACCAGAGCCATGCTTCTACATTAAGGCTTAAAGGGACAGCGGAGAGAAAAGGAGGAAGAGAGGATACTGAAAGGCAGAAACGGCCAATGTCAGAAACAAACTGCTCAGAAGAAAAGCTTAGGCAAGTATCATTTAAAAGCTTAATTACATAAAAAAGATACAATCTCTGCTGAAAATGATGTAAAAAACAGTGGATCTTACTCTGTCAGAATGCAAGATAGCTTAGGTTATGGACTGTCTTGCCAATGGGTTTCAGCCCCGGGCAAGTTCACTATAGATTCAATGTGGCCAAAGAAATGACAGTAGAACATTCTTGGGGTGAAAGGGTTATACCCAACTTTACTTCTATGGTGGCAGGTCAATCACTAAAATCCCATTCATTCAGAGCAAGTCTGCATGCAGCAAGCCAATCTCTGCCTCTGGCCCTCTGTCATCAGTGCTGCCACCACTCCAGCCTCTGCTCTCCTACAGCCTTGCAACCCTGCCACCGTATCGCGCCCAGAACACTGGGTGGAGCTCTTTATAAGAGTCAACAGCCATGTATTGCCCACAGGTGTGCAGTGAGCTAGTCAACCACAGCCAGGTGAGAATCCTGGCCACAGCAACTCTCATTTTATCCACATGGACCCATTTCTTTTTTAAAATTGAATATGGTTGACATAGTATTATGTTAGTTTCAGGTGTACAACATAGTGGTTCAACAATTATATACAGTATGAAATGCTCACAATGCTAAGGGTGGTTACCATCAGTCACCAAAGTTATTACGGTATTATTGATTATATTACCTATGCTGTATTTTTCATCCCTGTGACTTACTTACTTTATAACTGTAAGTTTGTTCCTCTAAATCCCCTTCACCTATTTCACCTATCCCCCACCCCCACTCCCTATGGCAATCACCATTTTATTCTGTGTTTATTATGAGTTTGTTTTTGTTTAAAGATACCACATATGCAAGTGAAATCATATGGTGTTTATCTTTCTCTGTCTTGACTTACTTCACTCAGCGTATATGGATAAAATGAGAGTTCTGTGGCCAGGATTCTCACCTGGCCCTGGTTGACTAGCTCACTGCACACCTGTGGGCAATACACTGCTGTTGACTTAATATAAAGAGCTCCGCCCAGTGCTCTGCACGCAACAGGATGGCATGGCTGAAACCGTTGGCAAGCAATTGGCAAAAGTCGGCAGGGTTCACTGTTGACTAAGGAAAAAGACAGGCTGCCCTTATGGGAGGGGTGCTTCAGTGGGCTGCCCCTGTGAATGGGGAAACAGAGGATTGTCCCCCAATGGGTATGTGGTCTGAGTTGGCTCGTCTCCTAGAGGGCTGGGCCCCACCCCAGGACTGGCAGCAAGTGGAGGTGACAGCTGAGGCAGTAAGGGTGGCTCTTGGTATAGTAAGCAGATCCTTTGAGAAACAGAGTGCCTGTAAGGCAGGAGGGACTGTGGGTTGGCTGCTTCTCACAGTATTAAAAACGTCTACAGAGGAGACCCAAGAAATGGGCACAAGAACGTGAGCTGCAAACTTCTGTGGATTCCCTGAAGAAGGAAATGGCATTGATGTGGGAGGAGGCAGCATGAGAGCGCCGGCAGCAAGGTGCCATTGGAGACGAGATGGCAGTGCTGCCAGGTGTTCCAAAGGAGGAAGAGGCCATAAGAGAAAGGGACGAGTTCCTGAGGGAAGCACAGGCGGAGGTGGCACGAGAACGTCAGCTGCGAAGCATTGAGCTGAAGGTAAGAGAGCTTCTGAAGACCGAGCTGGCACTGCTGAGGGGCACTGTAGCAGAGGAGGCACTCGGGGGAGTGGAGAGAAAGGTGCCATCAGCCCCAGAAATGGAGGAGCTGGGGAAGGATGAAGGAATGGTGCCAGAGGCACTGGTGCCTCCTGTAGTGAAAGCACGCCTAGTGGTTGTAAAGAAAATAAAGACCTAGCAGCTGAAAATTCCCCAAGGAGAGGAGCAGCCCCCCCCCCCCAGGTCGTGGAGGACTCTATGCTCCGCCCCTATACTCAGGCTGAGCCGGTGGCTGTGGGACTTAGAGGCGGATGGAATTGTTCTGTCGGGATCAGAGATGGGAAAGCTGTCTTTCCTGACAGTGCAGCCCGTCTTGAGGCAGCAATTACAAAGTGCGAGGTGACATGTACAGTAGCTGAAGCAATAAGAACCCAGAAAGAAATAAGACCTGTTACTCACAAGAAGGATTTTAGGGGCCCCATGAAGGTTACCAGGACCCAGATGTGGGTTGATTTAACACAGGCAGGAGTAGATGGAAGGAAATTAGATGGGAAGCCAAATAGGATCTTACTGGAGGTATGGCAACAGCTGAAACCAGAGCAGCAGTTCAACCATTAAGACCAAAGAGGCAGAGGTCAGAGAGAGAGCCACGAGTCCAGCCTGTGTGTCTGCAAGACTTTTTGCTGGAGAGGCTGGAGAACAATGTTCGAGCTTCCTTGCACAGGGACCATTGCAGAGGACTGAGGGCACATAGACTGAGAGGAGAGAATCCTGGACAGGTGGAGTGTGGATAAAATGAGAGTTCCTGTGGCCAGGATTCTCACCTGGCTGTGGTTGACTAGCTCACTGCACACCTGTGGGCAATACATGGCTGTTGACTTGATATAAAGAGCTCCGCCTAGTGTTCTGCATGTGACACGGTGGCAGGGCTGAAACCCATTGGCAAGACAGCATAATACCCTCTTTGGCTATGGACCTGTTTCTTTAGTAACTTGACAAATCTAAATCCCTTGGATTCCCTCTTCAAGGCAGCTCTCTAAACCACCAGGACTCAAACCATCAATGTGGCACTGTTTCACTCAGATCCTTTCGCCCTCCAGAGAATACCTGAATAGTTGTTCATTTTTCCTACATTAAACTTTCCAGGAAAAACAAGCAGACTCTGCAATCTTCAGGTATGTTCAGCATTATTCACAAGGAGAAAGGTATGTGACAGACCAAAGCGAGGCTTCTCTACAGCTGTGTGAGGGCCCCAAACAGAAGAAAACCCTGGGACGTGCTGAAAGCCCAAGCTAGCCCAGGAAAGGCTTCATGTTTACAGGATTGTGCCCCTGCAAGAGGGCAGCAGGAAAATCGCTAAGGGAGGAGAACCATGGGGATAAGCTAAAAAGGGCAAAGGCATCTGCGAAAGGAGTTAACCCCAGAGCTTACCATCAAAGGGCTTCATCACACCTAACATTCACATCTGTGGCCCAACAGCCTGGCACCTGGATGTTCCTGTTCACCCTGAGACTCTCCCAAGAACAGGAAGACATACTAAGTACAATTGTACCTGACAGAAGAACTCTCCTCCTCCTCTTTCTAATTAATCACCTAATGCCTGAGCCAGTTCAAGTTGACAGTTAAAGTCTCAGTCTCTTAATGCAGCTCAGGGTTGGAAACACCCAGCCCATATGCTGCCACACCCCTCATGTAGCAATCATGGCACTTTTCCCACTGAGCTCAGACCCAGCTCTGAGTCATCCTCAACACAGGCAGCCATTACCAATAGCTGAGCTGATATGCAGGGTAAAATCTGACATCACTGAGCTAAGCATTCATGTAATAATCACTATGTGCTTAGAATAGGTCAAGTACTACCTGGGGTTCAGAGATGACTGACTCCTTCCCTCATCTGTGGAAGCAAATAATTTAGAGGGGGTGCCCCACTATGTCTTACTCTAAGATATAAAACACAATAATGCAGATTAGATGTGTAAAGTCTGACTACAACACAAGAGCAAAGACTAATCAGTTATGCCTGAGAGGTAAGGGATGGAGGGGCCAGGAAAAGTTTATAGACATAACATAGGAGCAATTACTAGAGAGATACAGGAGTTTGGATAATGCAGAAGAGGGAATATGACAGAGAAGACTGGAGGTACAGGGATATAGGAACAGGGAAAGTTCCATGTGAGTGAGGCATTATGGTTATAGTGGGAGAGAACAGTATACAGTATGTATTTGAATGAGCTGAAGCATAGCAGAAGAGTCTGATGAGGGAAACTGGAATGAGATTATGAGTCTGAATTTAATTTAGATGGTAAAGGGAATCCAAAAGAATCAAAGAAACGTTTATCCTCCAGGTCTAAAATGTATCCAAAGAGGGTAGAAATAATGTCCTTGTTGGACATGATCTTGAAACCCTTCATACTGCACATGGCTTCACCTCTGAGTACAGCTATAACTCTATGTCTGCTCTAGCTTGTACCCATGCTTAATGTATTAAACATGAGAAGATACTTGCAGAGCTACATCATTCTTTACTTCACGCCCAGTAATCCTTACCTGTCGGCTGAGCCAGCTGCTATCTTGCTTCCATCAGGTGACCAAGAACATCGCAGAAGATTCTATAGTGATGAATAAGCAGGAATCCAATGAAACAGTAATGTACTAGACCTCTCTGTATTAAACTATAGAATCACTGAAAGGCTTTACATTTCTTAAGTAGAGTTTTAATTATTCTCTCCAGAAATATGACCAGCAGTTAGCTTATATTCTGTGGGCCAAGACAGCATATTTTGTTATTTCATACCATATAAAAACCAGCTATAGCAAATGCTTAACTTATTGTAAATCAGAGTGGACTTGGCAACAAAATTTTGTTCTGCCTAAATATGGAGGCTCCCTTTGCTCCATTTATCTTGATCCTCATTAAAAAATTTGTTTATCTTGAAGGAAAACAAAAACCAAATTCAACAAAAAACAAGATTTGATTTAAAAAGTGAAACTGAATGGGCTCTCAAAAGAAAAACATTAGTCTCATTAACAAATTATCTGAAGGAAAAGCTGCTTTTAAGAACTGACCCATAATTTTAGAGTTTAGAAAAAATTCTCTCAGAACTTGGGCCTGGTGCTTACTGAGAGGAGGGATATATTCTCAGGGCTCTAACAGCTGGTCACTGGGAGGATGACAGAAGGCATCAGGGTAAAAGCCAAAGGGGTCTGGGTCCTATATGGAACACTGACCCAAGAGGGTCAAAGTTCCCAAGAAATTTAAAGGATAGGAGTGTCTTGTTGCAGTCGGAAGTCATAAAGGCCCCATCACAATTCGTGTATGTGATTGCCTTCCTCCCTATGCTTCTATTAGCTTTATTTATGGCAAGCAGAGTTCTGATGGAGAACAGTATTATTGGAAATAGCAGAGCTACTGCTCTCTATCCTTACCACCTTCCTTTTTTTAAAATGGAGATATAATTGACATATAACACTATTAATTTTAGGTATACAATATAATTTGATATATGTAAATATTGTGCCGTAGCATCATCTTAAATGTTTCTTTGAATCAAATGGACTATAAAATTCCTCTGCAATGAAGAACTCACTTTTTCAAAGTTGTGCACATTTCCTTGAAATATCTTCACACACCTCTCTTTGGGAGCAAATGGCCGAACATCCCAGACCCGCACTGCAAATTTTAAACAAAGCAAAACAGCTATCAGCCAAAGGCCTCCTGAGAACTCAGCTGAAGTTAGTATCATGTCAATGGCAGCTACTGTTTCCTGGGTGGATGAAGTCCAACATGGTACATTGCTACTGGACCTGATAAGGTTTTTTTCTTTTTCTAACAGGAATGAAATGCATTCAAGTTCCACTGATAGGGACTAAGGGCACAGACAAGCTGAGAGAATAGGAAGGGGAAACATCAAACCCATTCATTGCTGGGGATTTGCAACAGAAAGTAGCTGGGTGCGACATTTTGCAAAATCAATTAAACATTTTGCAAATGATTCTTCTGCCAACCCAAATAGTTCACATCTACCATTCAATATGCCATCTAAATGCCACTGACTACTGTGACAATGTATAAAAACAAAACTCAGGACTGATCTTTTCTAATTTTGATCACAGAGGCACCTGACAGTCTAAACTTGAACATGGTTAAATATATTGGAAAAGCACCAAGTACCAAGAATTAGAAAAAGGAATTTTGATTCTAATTTGAATTCTGCTATATATAAGGGTAGTATCAGGTAAATTAGTGAGGTTCTTTCTGTTTGGTCTCTTCCATAAAATAAGAATACCACCTTTTTTTTTTTTAAGTTACATGATACATGTGAAAGGGCTTTAAAAGATTGGAGGCAATAAACAAATCCTACCATTAGCAACATGGATGGAGCTAGAGGGTATTATGCTCAGTGAAATAAGTCAGGCAGAGAAAGACAAATACCAAATGATTTCCCTCATTTGTAGAGTCTAACAACGAAGCAAAACTGAAGGAACAGAACAGCAGCAGACTCACAGATTCCAAGAAGGGACTAGTGGTTACCAAAGGGGAGGGGTAGGTGAGGGTGGGTGGGGAGGGAGGAAGAAGAGGATTGAGGGGTATTATGATTAGTACACATGGTGTGGGGGGGATCATGGGGAAGACAGTGTAGCACAGAGAAGACAAGTAGTGACTATGGCATCTTACTACACTGATGGACAGTGACTGCAATGGGGTATGGGGGTACTCAATAAGGGGGAATGTAGTAACCACATTGTTTTTCATGTGAAACCTTCGTAAGAGCATATATGAATGATACCTTAATAATAAAATGATACACAATTAAAAAAAAGATCAGAGGCAATAAACAAAAATAATTTATAAATTTCTTATGTAGCCATAATAAGAAATTCTTATTTTAATAACTACTTAGGGAATCTCATCTTTCCTTACTGTGAACAATGCTAGCATTAGTCAATAGTAAATCCACTGAAGTTGAGATAGAAACATCCTTGGCAAGCAGTGCCTACATCTGTTGTTAAATAAAGCTGACCTATAGTGGAACCTGAGTGATGTCATTTTATTTGAGTGTGAAAACCACTACAATCCTTGAAGTCAGGCATAAAAAGGTGAAGCTACGGATAAAAGTCTGCTATTGAGCTGAGCATACAGTCATAAGGTAAAGGATGTTCATTCATTTAATAATTATTTACTGAGCTACACTGAGTGCTTGCTAGGCAATGTTTTCTTTATAAAGTGTCAGTGAAACATTTTCTTCCTGACAAGTACATGAACTTGTATACCAGAGGGTCATTTCCAAACCTTCCCAATATTAAACGTATAATCCAACAAGTCAAGATCCTTTTTTTGCTATAGTAAAGCCATCCTCTCACCCAAAAACTCAAGAACAAGCAAAGGAAGGGCAAGAGAGTGTGTAAATCCATAATGCTGAGATGTTTTATGAAAACCTCTTGGCACACCAATACTTTGGAGTTGGGAGAGAAGATACATTGGCAGAAAGAGCACAACTGAGGAATCAACAGGATTATTGATCATCCAAGCCTGGTGCTCTGAGAACTGCCGTGGATGGATCTCCAGGCAATCATGTTTCTCAATAAACGAATCACCAGGAGTTTCTTGTACTCTGTTTGTTTGGATCTAGCCTTAGATCCATAGCATACCAGAGATGATATGGGACTTTAGAAGTAAAGTCAAGTCCTCTTATTTTATCAGTGTAGAAACTGATGCCCAAAGAGGAGAAATGCTATGTGCAAGATTGCTAAGGGATTAGACGGCAGAACTAGGACTATCATCCTGGCTTCTTGCCCATATTTTTAAAAGCTTTTGTTATTACAACGTGTTCTCCTAATTGCCCCAGTGGAAACCTGGGCAGCCATCCTTTATTCTTTCTTGAACCCTCATTTATCCCAGAACACATTCCTAGCGCCCACTCTCTTTAGGGTCCACACTGGCTGGGCCCTGGAGCTTTCCTTCCCAAAGTTACCTGTATTGTCCATTGCATTAGACAAGAGGTAAGAGCCTTCCGAACTTAAACTCAGGCCAGTCACAGAATCTGCATGGCCTCTCATGGCATAGGTCAGCTTGTTCTGGCGCAGGTCCCAGACCTGCAAAAACAGAAAGGTGCTCCCAGCAGTCAAACTGAGGATATAACAAAGAAATAGAGTTATTGAGAAGTCACTTGCCTGAAGAAATTAGTAGCCCTTCTTAATCTGGCTCTGGGTCAAGTATTTTACCACAAATATATAGGATTTCTGTGGGTGGGGGGAAAAAAAGATCAAAAGAAGAATTCTGTTTCTTGACATGTCAAAACAATATGAAATTCAAATTTCAGGGTTCATAAATAAAGTTTTGTTGTTACACAATAAAAAAAATACAGGATTTCTGTCAAAGAGGAAAAAACTTGTCTTTCTGAGACAGTAGTAAAAGTTACTGTTTGACTAGAGAAATATAAATTAATGAATGTCAAATATTAAGATGAAGTTTAACAAAAAAAGTAGAATTTGAGGTTATTTTCAAATCATAACAAAATGTATTAGGAATTAAACTAGCATTTAAAGTGCTTAAACTATCATGCTTGGCAATTAAAAACAAACTATATAAAAACAAGTAAACATGTCATTTGAAAGTATGATTGCACGTAAAATGTATGTAACAAGGTAATTTGCAAAAATACAGATGCTTAATAATCTTCATTTAATGTTATATGTATACACACAAACGCACACACATATGTATACATACACTAAGCATATTTATTAAAAGAAGTAGATTGTAGATTCACTGTTGCCTGGGTAGGAAATGTAAAAGAAACAGTTCAGCTGAAAATAACCTAATGTCAGAGAGGGAAAATAAATGGTTTATTAAGTTATAGCTCATAAACACATTGCAATACTATGAATTCTCATGCTAGCGACAGTATCAGAGGAAGAGTAGGGATATAGGGTCAGACTGAACCAGTCTTTTCATCTTAAGAATTGTGTATTATTGGGCCACTAACCCCCTGAGCCTGCTTCTGGTCTGTAAGATGGGGATACATTTAGTCCTTAGGGCTACTGTGAGGATTACAAACAGAATCCTTAGCATATGCCTGGTACACAGCAGGCCCTCAGTAACTGCTATTATTAAGCGACTTTGCTAAAAATAACTGTGAAGATCGAATTTAAAATGTTTATATAATAAGCTATTAAGGAAATACAAAACAGTATTTATATTTACAGACTGCAACTATGTAAAAAACATATTAAAGCCAATAAAAATGGTCTGGAATGTCATGGAAAAAGAACAGCAATTTTGTTAAGGTCATCAGTATTATACAAAATTTCCTCTAAATTCAATTAAATATTGCTATAGTTCTTATAAATGAAAATAATTTACTGTCCCTTTAAGCAAGGCACTTTACTCATCTAGAAATGAGTTCGGTGTTCTATGTCAAAGCAATACATAAGGCAGACAACTCTACTTTCCCTGTCAATAACTCATTCATGTGTGGAACCCAACACACTTTATATACAATCATATCTGTCAGAATGTTTGCTGCCTCAATAATTAGGAAAGCTTGAAGTGGTGGACATTTTTGTTCAGGTTATTGTTCTTCCTCTTAAGAGAAGGCATTGTTGAAATCTTAAGCTTTTCAAGAGAGAATGCAATTCACCATCCCTCGCAGCCCTTGGGTGCTATTTCCAGAGTTTTCTCCTTGAGGCCTGCATGTGTTGTTTGTGCTGAGCCAAAACATATCTGGGACTTGCCACAGAAAGACTGGGTAGGGCACTAATGTAAGCATTTTTCAAATGTCCTAATTGGCTGCTGAGTGAACACTTGGGAATCTGGTTGGTGGCAGGCACTGGTGGGGATAAAAAGACAGTCCCTGCTTTCAAGGAGCATTGAGTCTATTAAGGAAAACAGACATGTAAACGACTGACGAGAGGTCTGTACAAGGTGCAACAGCAAAGAGGGCAGAGGGGTTAACTCTCCTGTGGGACAGGAATAGGAGTGAGAAAGGGAAGGTTTCACAGAGAATGAAGTGCTTGACCAGGGTATGGAAGGAGAAAGAGGTGTTTTTTACTTAGACAAAGTAGAAGGGTATTCTAAGGCAAAGATAATGTGTGAAAGCAGAGGCATTAAAAAAAAAAGCTGGGTTGTAGGAAATTAGGCAAAGAGAGGCAGCAGACAATGATTGAAAGATTTTGAATGCCTGGGTTGGACTTTATCTCCCTCACTGGGGAACTACAGAAAGAGCGTAGTGAAATGAATTGGTCAGAACTGATTTAGAAAGATCCTTGTGGCCCAGATAACTGAAGGGATGAGAGAAGAGGCTGGATATCAATGAGGATCTATCTGTTCTCTTACTATATTAAAAAACCCCAAAGAATCAACTAAACTGCCATTCTGACTAGAGCTCAGGATCACAAAAAATGCCAAAAAACTGCTAGCTGGACCTTAAAGGCCATCAAGCAGGGGCACATCATCTTCTTTTATTCACTTCCTAACTCCACAATCCTATTCCCGTGAAGACAATCCAAGAGCTGGCAGGAACGGCACAGGCAGGATCAGAATTTTTGCTCACCAGCAGACACAGATTTGTTCACCACAGATTGTGAAATGGGGCTCCCATCCCTTATTCGTTTCTCCTTTCTTGGAACGTGCAGTGCTGCTGGACGGCCTGAGAAGCAAACAAAAACCAGGCTCTTCCAGGCCAGTCTGTCCTCACAGTGGAGGTAAGGGTACCACATTTTTATAGTTTCAATAAGAGAAGCCAGTCTCAAAAGGTTACACACTGTCTATATACAGTCTCAAAGGTTACATGATTCCATTTATATAATATTCTAGAAAAGGAATTATAGGGCAAATCATTAGTAGCTGGTAGGGGTTAGGGATGGGGACTAGGCTTGACACAGGAGCACTGTAAAATTTTGGGAGGTGATAGCTCTGTACTCTGTGGCAGTTACATCAATCTATACAAAAATTAAAATTCATAGAACTGTACATTTAAAAAAGTTAACCTCACTGTATGTAAATTTAAATCATAGTAATTTTAAAAGTATGAAAATTATCATAGCTTAGTGACACTTATCTACTTTCATGTGTATAAAAAGCCCTCAAGTGATTCTAGTGCTAGTGAGTTCCCAAACTTCACTCTGAGAAATAAGGCATTAGCTATTAAGATGATCTAATTAAGTTCTCATGTTCTGATTCCACATTCTCCATGTAAAGTGGAAAAGGGATGGGAAGTTAAATTTTGGAAATGAAGTTTAAATTTTGAAGTATGAGACATTCAAGTGGGGGTTGCTAAGTAGCTGGTTGTATACAGGAGTCTGGAGCTAAAGATCTGGACTGGGAATTAGAGATGACAGCTAAAGTCAGGGAAGTAGATGAGAACTGTCCAAGGAAAAGGTATATAGTGAGAAGAGCAGCTAGGAAAGAACCTTGGGGAATAATGGCACTTAAAGAATGCATAGAATAGCTTGCAGATATCTGAGAAGGATATGCCAGAGAGGTAGGAGAGTATCTTGTCACAGCCAGTAAGGAAAAAGAGACTAAAAGGATCTAATGGATTTAGCAAGAGAGAGAGATCATTGGTGATCCTGAAGAGAACAGTGTCAATGAAACAATGGAAGCAGAAACAGACTGTTGAGGAGTGATCAGGAGATATGAATTGATAAAGGAAGGTAAGGAAATGAAGACAGTGAATGTAGAAAAATATTCGGGGGATTTCTCATAGGTTTTAGGAGCATGACTCTGGAACCAAACTGGGATGTGAACTGAGGTTCATCACTTATTAGCTATACAACCTTGGGTTAAACTGTGCCTCTCTTAGCTCAGTTTCTTCACCTGTAAAATGGCACTAATAGTACTTATTTCATAGGGTTATTGTGCAGCTTATATGTTTTAATAATGTAAAGCTCTAAGAACACCTGGTACAAAGTAAGCACTATGTAAAGTGTTAGAGGATGGTGAAAACATTGTTATCATCACCACCACGATCATCATCTTTTAAGAAGTTTGGCTGTAAAGGGCAAGACTGACAGGGCAATAAGAGGATGTGGAGTTGAAAGAAGATACCTGCCCTGCCCCCAAGATATGAGCAGGATAAAATACTGGTAAGATGAAAGCAGAAGAGGAGGTTGAAAATACAGGATCTAGGAAAAATGATGGCACGAGGACCCAGAGACAAGAAAAAGAGTTGAAATCCTTCTTTTTAAGGGACCACCTTTAGACAAAAGCAAGGGTATTTCATCCATAGTGACAGCAAAGGCAGCAAGGAGGGAATACAGTATAACTTCTAGGCAGAGACAACAAAGAAGTTGAATATTTATCCCACAGTTACCAATCTCACAATAAAGCAGAAAATAAAGTCAGTCTTTGAGATAAAGCCAATAAATAAAAGTAGACACAAACTGTGAAGTCTCCCCTGCCCCCGGCCAAGAATACTTCACATTTACTGACACTTGCTATGTCCAGAACCTCTGCTGGGGGCTCTAATGCATTAGGCTCATTTAATCCCGCCAACAACCCTATGAGGTAGATGTTATTATATCTGCTGCACACATGGGAAAACAGAGGCTTAAAGAAATTAAAGAACTTGTTTGAAGTAACAAAAAATAGAAAATTGTGGAGCTGACATTAGAACCCAAGTCAATTACTTGAAAGCCTGGGCTGCTCTGTACTGTTACATGGCCTACTGCCTCTTTCTCCAGCATCATTACCTTTCTCATTCTTAACTCTAGACTCCCCAAAACTTCCTTTCCATAGTCTCAAAAACAAAGACATGCTGAGAGGTCAGAGAGTCATAAACAGATTCACTGCTATCTCATTAGATCAACCCAGTTCAAAAAGAAAATGGTTTCAAATGTCTTTAGGCAGGGAATGCACTCTTCATGGTCACAGTCCCCACAGAAGGACTTCACACTTCACATTAACTGCCTGGGCCCTGAGGGCAATGAGCTGTACTGCAAGCCTTGACTTCGGAAGTCAATGAGGATAGGGCAAAAAGAAAACAAGATCTAAGTTACTATATTCGTTTTTGGTAGGTATAGCATGCACAGCTACTACAATCTGAGAGATTCAAAAGATTCACCATTGTGAGTGGAGACAGGTGAAAGGGAAACGTAACATAAACACCAAACATACCTTGATATCGTTGTCTATTCCACCAGAAATAATCTGATCACTTGTGTCATTGAAGGTCACAGCTAACACCTGGTAGGTGTTCTGAAATGTCTGGATGGCCGCTTTTTTCCGGATGTCCCAAAGCTGAAGCAGAGGAACAGGAAAGTCTATAGTAACATCACTCTAAGAAGTAATTTGCACAGCATAACCCTAAGACCAAGGACTTTGTGGAGGTGAACCTATTTTTAATAGGGCTCCCATTCAGAAACTTGTCTGGATATCCTAGTAACATGATGAGAAGTGACCACAATTTTGCCAACATATCTGAAGGTTGGTGGGACAAAATCACTTTGGTTATATTTTCAAACTCCTTTGTTAATTTGAAAAAAAGTTATTCAACATGCCCTTAGAGTAGAAATGCTCTGTTTGCTTAGTTCATATGTTCTTAGCACAGCAAGGATATTAGATCAGTGTTTTCGAAATGTAGACCCTAACTTATTAATGGGCTACAACTTGCATTAAAATATATATATAGAGAGAAGGTTACATCAGTGAAAATGTCAGAGCAGGGAATGCCAAAAGACTGTCCCTCTACAGAAGCAGAGTGAATCTGGCAAAAAAAACTGGCAGAATCACTACTCTAAAAAATAATCAAAAGTTTATAGCAACCAAGTAAAGAATAAGAAAAAAACACACAACTCTTAGAAAGAGAGTTTTGTGGGTTTTAACTTACCCTGGCTCCATCCCCACTCAGCAATAGCTTTGAAGACAACAGCCCACATCCCCAGCATAGATATTCCTAGTACCAGAGGGAGCAGAATAGGCCTTATTCTTTATTCTCAAAGAATTGTGTTTGTTTTTACCTGTCTGGAGGCTACCTGAAGGGTCTGACTGTATTTTGCCTAAGCTGAAACTCTCCCATGGCAAGAGCATTTGTCCAAGACATTTAAAAGCAAGTATATCAGCCTCTGCTGGCTGGGGCAAGGGGTAACAGCTGGGACAAACAACAGACAAACCAAAAAAACTTGGGAAAAAAGGTTAAGGAATGAGACATTTAGGGCTTTGAAAAATTCTGACATATTCCTGGAACTCTAGAAGGTCACTTGCAGGCCTAGGGCTGGACACATGTTCAGAAAAGACCTGAGAAGGCCCAAGCTCTTACCTCTTGCTGACCTTCAGGCTCTGCATGAGCAGTAAGTAAAGGCTAATGCAAAGTTGTAAACTGCCTGGCTGACAGGTGAAGGCAGGCCCCAACACACACACATAGCCAATCTGCAAAGATCTGAGAGTTTTTTATCCCCCCATGTGATAAGAGAAATCTCTGACAAATTGTTAGCAAACCACTTAGCTACTGAAACAGATACTTCAGTGGCAACACATGACAAAAAATACAGACTTTACAAAATTAGTTGAGAAAACTCACTAAATAACAAGCTGCAACAAGCAGCAACTATAAACCCTGGGGAGCACCTAATTTTCAGAGCTGCCACATTGTAATATTCAAATGTCCAGTTTTCAACAAAGAATTATAAGGTGTGAAAGAAGCAAAAAGAAATTAGCAGTCCTTCCAACGAATGATGCTGGGACAACTGGATAACCACATGCGAAAGAATGAAGTTAGACCCTTACCTCACACCATAAAAATTTACTCGATGTAAATCAAAGACCTAATGTAAACACTGAAACTATAAAATTCTTAGAAGAAAAAAGAGGGGTAAATCTTCATGACCTTGGATTTGGCAATGAATTATTAGATATGACACCAAAAGCACAAGTGACAAAAGAAAAAAGATAAATTAGAGTTTATAAAAAATTTTTAAAACTTTTGTACATTAAAGGACAGTATCAGGAAAATGAAGACAACTGTAAGTGGGAGAAAGTATTTGCAAATCATGTATCTAATAAAGGTCTAGTATCCACAATAAAGAACTCTGAAAACTAAACAACAAAAATACAAGGAACCCAATTAAAAAAGGGGCAAAGGACCTGAAAAAACACTTCTTTTCAGCAGACACACAATGAAAAAGTGCTCAACACCGTAAGTCATTTAGGCAATACAAACTAAAACAGTAATTAGATATCACTTCATCCTCACTAGGAAAGTTATAATTAAAACACACACATGTGCACACACACACAGAAATAACAAGTGGGGATGTGGAGAAATTATAACCTTCATGGATTGCCAGTGGGAATATAAAATGACGTGGCTGTTGTGGAAAAGTCTGGATGTTCCCCCGACAAGTTAAAACACTGAATTACCACATGACTCAGCAATCCCACTCCTAGATATATACCCAACAGAAATGAAAACAGGTGTTCAAAACAAAAATTTGTACATGAATGTTTATAGCAGCATGATTCGTAATAGTTAAAAAAGTAGAAATCCCATATTCATCAACTGATGAATGGATAAACAAAAGGTGGTATATTCTTATGATGGAATATTATTTAGCCATAAAAAGGAACGAAGTATTGCTACATGCTTCAACATGGAGGAACCCTGAAAACATTATGCTAAGTGAAAGAAGCTGTACACAAAAGGCCATATATTCTGTGATTCTATTTATATGAAATATCCAGAATAGGCAAGTCCATAGTGACAGCACATAGATTAGTGGCTGCAAGGGGCTGGAAAGGCAGGGAAAAGTAGTGACTGCTTAATGGGTGCAGGGCTTCTTTTTGGGGGTGATGAAAATGCTCTGGTATTGGATTGTGGTGCTGTTCACACAACACTGTGAATGCTCTAAAAGCCACAGAATTGAACATTTTCTAAAACGATTAAAATCAAGAATTTTATGTTGTATGAATTTATCTTGAAAAAATTTTAAGAGAGAGAATGTCACATATAGAAAGGGTTGGTTTGTAAAGGACTATTGAGGGACATATATACCAGGTCATACTATAAAATGTTTCCTTAATGTGTGTTGTGATAAAAAAATGTTTAAAAGTTACTGTGCTTAGTTAGACCTTCTAGTTTAACCCCAGCTTTTATAGGTGAGGAAACTAAAGCACAAAGAAGGACTAACTTGATGAAGAATACCCAGCAAGTCAACAGTAAAACAAGGACTAGAATTTAGTGCTGTCTGGTTCTATTAGGTTAATGTTGTATTACCTTAAAAGTATTAAATGTGTGAAATTTCTTATAATTACTAAAGTAACATAAGTTGTTTTAAAAAGTCAACTAACACTTATTTTTAATGGCTGCTTGATTAATTAATAATAGAGAGGAAAGAAGATGAAGATTAGGTATAATTAACTCTAGAACTCCGTACTGTAACTAAAAAAATGAACTTATATAATAAAATATGGGTCCATATTTTTGAAGTGTGGATAACAGAGAGTGCTTAGAGATGTTTCAATAAGTAACTGACAGACCTGAAGGGGTAACACATGAGGAAATGTTCGAAGAGTCCGTTCATTTCATTCAGAAGAGAAAGACTTTGGGATGACCATATTCCAAATTGTTCAGGGTTGTCGTAAAAAAGAAAGGGATCAGCCATGGAATCTTAGCAAAGGCCATGGGTTTAAATTCAATCCTGTGGTAGACAAAAATCTGAGTTGTATATGTGTGAAGATGCCTCTTCCTCCTAATTCTCATGGTTTAGGATGGCAGGTAGTTTCTACATTATTCATGGAAATAGGAGCTAAAAAGGCTAGGTTTAGTTACTCAGAAAAATGGTCCAAAAAGAGTGGGTCACTCTTCTTATTCTAGAGACCCAACAGCGAACCCCTGTCCATCAACCCCTCTCACTATAGAATCAAATCCAAACTGCTTAGCTTGGAATTCAAGGCCTTGATAATCTAGACTTACCACAATCTTTGTCTTAACAGATATCCTCTTTTCAGGTCAAACTAACCTTAAAAGCTTTGGTAGCCATTTAAGGTTTGATTCAAATATTTTAGGATTTTCCAGAAAACCATCATTTTTAAGAATTTACTTTGAAATATTCACGAACTTATAAAAAAAGTTGGAAGTAAAAGAGGACATTTTTTTGCCTAAATCATTTAAGAGTTGCTGACATATTGCCCCATCACTCCTAAATAATTCAGTGCATTTGTCCCCTAAAGATGTTCTCCTACATAATCTCAACACAACTATCAGAATGAAGAAATTAACACTGGTATTTTACTACCATCTGATCCTCAGATTTGATTAAAGTCTCACCACTTTTAGTGGTGCCTCAATAATGTCTTTTATTGCCAAAAGATTCAGTTTGGAATCATGTATGGAGTTTAGCTGTCACATTTCTTTAGCCTCCTTCCGCCTGGAAGAGTTTCTCAGACTTTCCTTAAGTTTTATGACCTTGACACTTCTCAAAGTTACAGGATGGGTATTTTGTACAATGTCCTCACTTTGGGTTTCTCTGATGTTTCCTCATAATTAGGTTCAAGTTACAAACCTCTGTCAGGAATATCACGGAAGTGGTGCTGCATTTTTACTCTACCTTATTGAGTAGTTCAATTTTGATTTGTTCCATTACCAGTGATGCTCAATTTGATCATTTGACTAAGTTGTTTTTTGGCAGTCAATGTGCTAATTGCTGTTGGGGTACTGTTGTTCCTAAACACTCAGTGTAGTTGGGAAATATATTCATATATAGGCACACGCACACACCTACAACACACGTTTACACCATTTCCCCCATACTCATCTGTTTATATATTGAATATCACGAGTTTACACTGATGCTTCTAATTTGATACCAACACAAGATGCATTTTAGCTCTTTCTGTACTGCCAACTTCTTTCTCTGACAGTGAGAAATCTGCCTCCCATTATACTTACTATATTAACTTAGTTGATTAAGCTTTCTGTATGGAACTAGTCTCCCATATCCTCTTCCATCCTTCTCCTGCATAGGTGTCCTCCTTTCCATATTTGAACTGTGGTTCCCATTCTGTGCTGACTCTCTGGGGACTCCCTCCTCTGTGTGAATGCCCTCTTCACTCTGCTCTGGCTCAAATACACCTCTCCAGGCTTCCCCAGGGATGCCGACCTCAACCTGCTCAGCCTCAGACTCAACCTGAACTGCTCCCACCCTGTGTGGATGCATTCAGCACAGGCTCTGACACCCATGGTCTCTCCCACCAACATGTAAATGATCCTTTTACCTGCTAGGGCACTGACTCTCCATGCTGGGTTGCTCCCTCTCCAATTTTCCACACTGGGCTACCTACTCTGTATTATAGTAGACAGTCTGTAGACAGTCTACTATAGTAGACTCTGTAGACAGTCCCCATCTGTCTACAACAGACTGCCCCCAACCTCTGCTGATGCTCTCCTTACCTCGCTTGGGCTCAGATACCCTACTCTGGGCCACTTCAGCTCATTCCCCATCTCTGTACCAAACACCTTCTCTGCTTTGGTCTGTGTAATGGCCCTAAGACTGTTTGTGAAAGGGGACAATTATGTACATATATATAATTGGTAAGGGAATCACATACACATATGTACATATGATTACTTATTGCTTTTTTAGAAGAAAGAATGAATTGGCTAAAAAGAGTTTGGAAACTACCGGTATGGTTGTTACCCAGGATGCCACTTCTAGACTAAAAATGCAAGTACTATAACGTTTACTTCTGTTGAGAACTCTGACAAGTAAAAAGTGACCTGACATTTCCCCCTTAGGTAGGCAGAGGTTATTCCTATACTTACCAATCTACTAACAGAAAACAACAACAAAGCATTTCAACTTGACAAGCAACTAAAAGACGTACGTAAAAGGCTGTTCAATGAAGCAGAATTATAAATAGTATGTTGAAATTAAAAATAAGAAACTGGTTAAAAAGTAGTCATCTTTAGGTGATGTGACATACTTCACATAAAAAAAAATTACCTTGAGGTAAAATAGCTTTAACCTTGAGTTAAAGTTAAAATAATTATTTCAAACCACATTTAAGGAAGAAGAGAAGAACTGAAAGAAGGAAAGAACAGAAAAGACATATATTCACAATGAAAGGTAGTAGAAAAAGAAAAAGCTAAGAAGAGACAAAAAGATAAACATGAGGGAAGAGAAGAAAAGACAAAATTAAAGTGAGAAAAAAGGTAAAAGGAAGGAAAACTGGAACTCAACAAGAGTAAGTTCCTAGATGTTTATTATAGCAGGCCCTCAACAAATGTTAACAAAATGCATTAGGGCATTCTCATGTTTTACTGCCTTTCAAGTGCCAACTAGCAAATCAGCTACTGTTAAGACTCTCTATAGGAGACCAGGATTGGAGCTCTGGGCTTTGGAATCATTCTTAAACCACAGATCTCCACCTAGCCAAGCATCAAAGGGCCCCAGGTGATTAGGTTTATTATAAAAGCCATTTAGTAGAAAAACATCTCAAAGCATATAATCCACTATGTCAGTGTCACACCCTTATTGAAGAAAAAAAAAACATTCTTTTACAAAAGCAACAATCACAAGTTTAGTGTGGTTTCTCAGATGTACCCCTTTGAAGTACTTCCCTGTTTAACCATGAAATACCATCCAGAGTCCAAAACTAGTGCCAAAGAAAGAGTAAAATGGTTGGTACCATTTATAAATAAACAATGCAATATGGCCTTGGGTGCCCTTGAAATAAGTTACTATTTCTGAGCATTTTCCTCAATTTAAAATAAGGAAGCTAGATGAGATCACAATTAAAAAATGAGCTAAAGACCTTAACAGATACCTTATCAAGGAAGTTATAGAGATGACAAAAAGCGTATGAAAAGATGCTTCACGTTGTATGTCATCAGGGAAATGTAAGTTAAACCAATGAGGCAAAACTACTATACAACTATTAGAGAAGCCAAAATCAGAAACACTGACAACACCAAATGATGAAGATATGGAGCAACAGGGACTTTTATTCACCGCTGGTGGGAATGCAAATGGTATAGTCAATTTAGAAGACAAACTGGCAATTTTGCACAAAACTAAACATACTCTTACCATATGATCCAGCAATCACACTCCTTGCTATTTACCCAAAGGAGCTGAAGACTTAAATCCACACAAAAAACTGTACATGGATGTTTATAGCAGCTTTATTCATAATGACCAACTCTTGGAAGTAACCAATCAAGATGTCCTTCAGTAGGAGAATGGATAAACTGTGGTACTTTAAGACAAAGGAATGTGCTAAGAAGAAATGAGCTATCAAACCATGAAAAGACATGAAAGAATCATAAATGCACATTACTAAGTGAAAGATGTCAACTGAAAAGGCTACATATTGTGTAACTCCATATCATTCTGGAAAAAGCAAAGCTACGGAGACAGTGAATGATTAGTGGTTGTCCAGAGTTGGGAGGGATGAACAGAGCAAGAGGATTTAGGTGGCTGAAAATACTCTGTATGAAACCACAGTGATGGATACATGTTGTTATACATTTGTCCAAACCAACAGAATGTACACCACCAGAAGTGAACCCTAATATAAACTATGGTCTTTGATTATGATGTGTTGATGTAGGTTTATAAATTTTAACAGGTGTACCATTCTGGTGGGGGACATTGGTTTAGGGGAGGCTATGCATACATAAGGGCAGTGGGTATATGAGAAACTTCTGTACCTTCCTCTCAGTTTTGCCATGAAGCTGAAACTGTTCTTAAAAATAGTCTTAATTAAAAAAAAAATCCCATTCCAGGCCTACTGAACCAGAATCAGGTTTTTTATTTTGAACAGGTTTCTCAGGTGATTCTGATACACACAGAAGTTAGAAATTATTGGACTAATTGACATTTAAGATCCCATTCTGTGTTATTAAACTACATATTGATTTTTTTAAATATACTGACTGTAATTTCACAATAGCTTTCTAAGGCATGTATATTACTGTCATTGCTCTGAAAAATGAGAAACTGAGGATCAGAAGAGTGATCTGCCCAAGATCACACAACAAAGTAAACAGCCAAGCCAAGACTCCAATTCCAGTGGTCCATTTTTTTCCAAGTCACAATGGTTCAATACAGTTCTAATATTATTCTGCAGGATACTTAAAAGCAAAACTACCTAGTTACTTTAAACTTATTTAAAAAGTGTTTACTTTGGGACATGGCTGCTAAAACAAAGTTGTGGAGAGGAAGGTACAGCACAGGTGGGAAAGCAAGACAGGATTCACATTATGCCACCTGAGAAAAGGCAACACAGACAACACCCACCTTAACCGTACCATCATCACTGCCAGTGCAGACAAGCTGGGGGCCCCGTCTGGCTGGATAACAGGAATTCACAAAGGAAGTATGTCCTTTCAGCCTTTTAACCCTCTCGCCTGTTTCACTATCCCATACTGCCACAGTTTTATCTGTGGATGCTGAGAAGAGCATGCTAGAAGAGGAAGAACAAAATCGAAGTGAAGACAAACAATAGTAATCTAGCGTTCCCACTTGCCATAATGTGCCATATTCTTCAAGATCAGGAACATGTTGTGTTCTGACAGTTTTGACACATGATGCTGGAATGCCTTCCCCTGCCTACCAAAATCCTACTGGTGCTCTAGACCCAGTTACAAAGTCTATCCTATGAAACATAAAATAAAATTCCTTGTCAGTCCCCATGATATATTACACATCTGAAATGGTAGCTTTCTTATTCTTTTCCTCATGATAGACAACACTGTACACATAAAGCATCCTTTCACTTAGAAATGTTTAATCACTCCCAGCTACAGAGAGAAGACAGACTATGGCAATGCCTAATCCAGTGGCACAATAACTCTAACCCTTTCTCTAAAAATCAAAGTTTTTACTTAGCCTCTGAGTATAATTTCTATAGTAACAGGAAAGATGTACACAAGGCTATGTACCAGTTGATTCAAAGGCCCTAGGATTTTAGAGGTCAGAGGTATAAAACAAATGTTTAATAAAATACCTATTAATTAACTGTGTAATCATATTTTTATATTATCTAGTTATTCTAAAATCATGCAATCATTAAAATGTTTATGATAAATAGTATGTTATGATAAACAGATGTTAGGTGAACAATATTAAGGGAAAAAAGCAGCAGGTAAGATCAAACATGTAGCTCTTACATATATATAAAAACCAAACAGTTTTGAGTAGGAAAAAGGCTTGAGAAAAATGTATCATAGTATTAACAGTGATTATGTTTGGAGTGGTAGAAGTGTGGGCTACGTTTTCATTCTTCTGATTTTTTTGATTTCTCAAAATAAATATTTTATTACTTTATAATAAATATAGCTAACTGCCATATATAAAAATTAATTTGTTTTCTATCTTAAAAAAAGAATTTATCTGGGCTGTTAATATAAGATGATGGAGCTGATGTTTTTATAAATGCACACATGAACAATAAACACCTTACCTGGTATGACAAGGATAGGATAATAAAGTAGTTACCCAATATTCAACAGTTTTTACAGCATGGTCTCCTGAGAGAGGATGAAATATGAAAGGATGCCAAGGAGAATTAGTATGAGAAGCAGCTATCATTCTGCTACGTGGAATACTCACCTGCCATCTGTATTATAATGTAGTTCCATTACTGCTCCACTGTGTCCCTTCAATGTCGCATAGTTATCACAGTCACCATAGACATTCCACAACACTGTTAGGGAGACAAGCGTTCTGTGAGTATTACTAGGCAAAGAAAACTCATTACTGGCCATGGCAAGGATATGTATAAATACACTAAGTAGTTGCCCAATATTCAACAGTTTTTACAGCATGGTCTCCTGAGAGAGGATGAAATATGAAAGGATGCCAAGGAGAATTAGTATGAGAAGCAGCTATCATTCTGCTACGTGGAATACTCACCTGCCATCTGTATTATAATGTAGTTCCATTACTGCTCCACTGTGTCCCTTCAATGTCGCATAGTTATCACAGTCACCATAGACATTCCACAACACTGTTAGGGAGACAAGCGTTCTGTGAGTATTACTAGGCAAAGAAAACTCATTACTGGCCATGGCAAGGATATGTATAAATACACCAGAACAACTCCCTTGGAACACTATTGGTTCTACCAGCGGGCCAATTTTCCTGACATTAAAACAAAAATAATGCAGGATTTTCGTATTTCATAAGGGTAAAAACTTAATTAATGGATATAATTTTTTAAATCTTGAGTTTTTTTCTTGTAATTTAAAAGAAGTTAGCATTCACTACTACTTGTCTGCTTTGAGTATAAGCAGAATGAAAAATGATGGCACTTATGGAAAATCTAGGAAACCACAATTGAGTTGAAGGTCACATGGCAATGACTTTATATTTACTCATATCACATGTACCAAGTACCTATGACATGCCAGACGCTGGGGTAAAATGAGCTAAGTGAATAGATATAGTTTCTATCCTCAGGTAGCTTGGTCAAGCAAGGAGTGAAATTTGATGAGTGTTACTAAGGAGCACCTCTATACATAATAAGGTACATGTATAGAGTAGTTACTTTTCTGCTGCTAAAACTGTTTTTAGTTTGTTTGATGACATTAAGCAAATCAATAATTCAAGGATGTTCTGCAAAGATCCCTAAATTTTCCAGATGCTTGGCCACTAGGAAGGTTAAGGATCATAGAACCAGAATACCTAAATCAAAACAGACAGTAAAGATGGTTATCATTCACCCTGCAGTACAGAGTTATAAGCAAAGAGCCAAAGGATTCTTTTCATCTTACTGTGGCAAGTGATGCCAGAAGAAAAAAGTGAGCTGCTTCTTATCATATTCTCCCTTGCTTTTTCTTAGGACTCCCCCAAGTGATTTTTTTCTACTTATTTCTTAAAACTAGGTATTCCTGACTAGTACCTGAGAATCTGATTGCAGATCCTAATGATATACAGGTAAATTACCCAAGAGAGTTGCCAGTTTAGGTTCCCCCCCACTTCCTTTCCAATGCTAAAGTTTCTGAGAGTGGATCCAGAGGAGGGCCTTACACCTTTGGGGAAAAGTAATCTCTTTCCTCATCACTTCCACTACATCTAGATCTCTTGTCTTGCTAAATCAGCTCAAGGTTTGCCTTCAAGAGAAAGATATTCTCAAACTAGAGTAACTCACTTCCCAGCTGGTAACATAATTCCTCCTGTATTTACCACATAGATCCTAAGTTCTATACCCAACATCATGCAGCATTTTCATGATCCTATTTTTTAGCACATTAGCCATGGAATTTGTGCTGTGACCAACTCAGACTGATACTTTCTGTGGCACCAAGGTTTTAATCACTATTTGGCAGAGAGCAATTATTCCAGTTTGAAAAACTATGCCTTACGTATCAGTCGGTCAAATCCTGCAGATGCTAAGGTGGATCCATTGGGGTGAAACTTGCAGCAGTACACTTCCCCTTCATGTCCTGAGAGGAGCATGATTGGGGCTTGAAGGGAGGAACACCTTGGAGGCCCCTAAACAAAAGAGAAGCACAGGGTGGTCACTGCAAACAGGCAAAGGAGACAGGTAAAACTGGGGGATAGAGGGTGGGAGGAAAAGACAAGAGAAACAATGATTGAGTGGATTTCTCCTGATAAGGCAATGGCAACTCTTTCACGTACCGTATGTCTCCAACGTCATACTATTGAAGTTTCCAATGTCTACTTGTAATACTAACTTTCCTCTTCCCTCACTGTGCTCCTGACCCATAGCCAATTTTTAATTGCTCATTTTAACAAACTGCTTATGTTAATTCATTTCTGCCTCAAGATCTTTACACTTGTTGTTGCCCCAGACAGGAATCCTCTTCCCCTAGATCTTCTTGTGTTTGGCTGCTTTCAGATGTTTCCTCTTCAGAAGTCTTTCCTTGATCTCTAAAACTCAAGCAGCATCAAGCATCCCCTTTGCATTCCATTAACCCTACTGTATTTCCTCATACTTACTACTACCTGAAATTACCTTCCTTATGCATGCCTTTACATATTTTATCTTTTTTCCCCACTAGTAAAGAAGCTCAGTGAGTGCAGGGCCCTTGACTGTCATTCAACACTGTTTTCCCACTCTCCAGCTCATTTAATGAGTGGATGATTGAACTGAGCTTCCCAACAACCCTAAAAAGTACAGATTATTAGGGAAAGTAGTTTTGTTTATGGTCTTGACACTAAGTCTAGGCTTGGGCAATTCACCAAAACCTGATATTCTTACTTGTTAAAAGAACAATAGCCCCCAAATCTCTTCAGCAGTTTCCAGCTTACTTGTTTATTCAAAATATACTATGTGCCAAGCACTGTTCTAGGCACTAGGAAAACAGTATTGAACAAATTAAACAACAGAGTTTATGTTCTAGTGGGAAGGAAGGAGACAAGTAGGGAGGAAAAGAGTGAACAGGTAAAACATATAGATGGTGATATGTGGTAAGCAGAAAAAAAGGCAGTAACATGGTGAGTAGTGTATTACAACTTAAATAGAGCCCTCTCTGAAAAAGTGATATTTGAGCAAAGATTTGGAGGTGTGAAACCATGTGGACATTTGGAAGAAGAACATTCCAGTAGAAAGAGCAGAAAATGCCAAGGCTTCTGAGGAAAGCCAGTGTGCCTGGAGCAGTGTGAACAACAGGAAATTAGTAGATCAAAGAGGTAAAGGGAAAGAGGGCAAAAGATTGTAAAGATTCTGGTTCTATTCTGAGTCAAGTCGAAAGCCACTGAAAGTTTTCAACAGAGGGTAATAACATGATCTGATGTTTAGGATTCCTCCAGCTACTGGATTGAAAAATAGATTGATGGTATAAAAGCAGAAACAGGAATATGGGTTAGGACCCTACTGCAAAATGCCAGATGAGATAATAATGGCTTAGACCAGGAGCTGGTGATGGAGGTGGCAGAAGTGGTAGCAATTTGGGATATATTCTGAGAACAGACAGAACAGAGCCAGGATTTGCTCACCAGCTGGTTGAGGTGCTGAGAAAGGGGACACATACGTATCTTCACTGAGTCTAACAGCACAAAAGGGGTGGTGTGACCATTACCTCTGTCTTACAGGAAATGATTAAAAGCATTGATTCCGGGTTTAAAAAATATTTCTATTACTTACTGGATAGTTTGTTTTCCTAGTTACAAAATAGGGTAAGTTTCTAACTCTTAAGTTGTTACCAAGATTAACAGAGTTTTCATACACAAAGCACTTAGTACACTGGGCTCAATGAATACTGGCTACTATTCGGTTGTTGTTAGTAACACTAATGCAAAGAGAGAAATGGAACGGCAACTTGTTCAAAGCCTCAAAGCGACCAAGTATCATTCATTTCCGTCCTTTCATCTTCCATTACTCCACTCTACAAACTTTCCTGAATGTTTATTCTATGATGGATCCCTGAAAGATTTAGTATGTGACAGCCCTGGTCCTGGTTTTGAGCTCAAGGTCCCTAACTAATTCTAATGCCATTTCACAGGGCCGTCCAGACGCCGAAAACCGGCATGTAACCGGGAAACGGATGGAGCATCCGCAGGGTGCCTGTCGATTTATAGTGCTGATTTACTTTAACTCCAGGTAGAGCTTCTCGTTGCGTCTCCGCAGTGCGGGTAAAAGGCCGGTGCGGAACCACCGGGTGCAGCCTTCTGAGAGAGGAAGATGAGCTGAGGGCCGCAGGCCGCCGGCTACTTCACTTACCGCCTGCAGCAAAGCTCCCGGAGCTGCCTGCGGCTGCCCTGTGCCGGGACCCGACCCCGCCGCTCCCAAAAGCAACTCATGCCGCTGTCGCTTGACTGGGACCAGCGGCAACTCTGGGGCCTTGCGTTTCTGCTGCTCTATCATGGCGACAGCCGCTCTTCTCAGCGCCGCCACTGACCGCGCTGACACCCTCAAGCACCGCACGATTGGGTCCGACTTTGTCCTTCCCCCAGAACTTCCGTCTTGGAGAAACCAGTCAGCTTCCAATACTCCCCTCTGCACCGCCCCCTGGATACTGTCCTGTTATTGGTTAGTTCTTACCTGATGTCACGAGAGTACGATTCCAGGATTGGTGGATGGAGCTGGAGTCCCACCTAGGCGCGCTGTGTCTTGTGGGTGGAAGCAGGCTGACTGGGTTTTGGCGTTTCGCGCAATGCTGCGGCTGGAAGACCAGGAGCTGACACAGAGTAAGGGAAAGGAAAATCGGGGGTGGGTGGCTGCGCAATCTGGAGACGGTGCCTCGGTTGTGTGCGGGCTAAGCCTGGCCCTTCTCAGCGGGGGGTTTGCAACGGGCAGAGGCGGGCCCCGAGTTGCTAGCTGTGGTGTGTAGTAGCCTGGGTTCCCTTTCTAGGCTGGAGCTGAGCTCTGGGGTCTCTGCGGCTGCTGGGGGCTCTCGATGGCTGACTTTTTCAACCAGTGCCTACCGCGGCCAGCCCTGTGCCGGACGCTTCCAGGGAGAAAAGACCTGTTTCTCAGCCTCCACCAAGGTTCTCTCTGACCTAGGAAGCCGACTTGTATCTGGCACTGATTGTGCAGCCATTTACTGGGCCTGCCGTGCGCCCCCGAGAGATATGAAGGAAATGTCCGATTCCTGCTCTTCAGAGCACAGTCTTGTTGAGAAATTTGGACTCATATCTGTGAACTAGGTCTTTTCCTTAATCGTCCAATTCGTGATATTTATTGTGCAAAGCTTGGGGCTACATGGTGAACCAAAACATGGTCCCTGACTTCAGGGGTTTAAGTCTGGTCGGAAAAACATGTGAAACAATGATCTCACTAAGAAATGTAAAATAAATACTACCGAGGAGCGGTGCCTGAAATAAACAGAAAGGCTTCTCTAAGGAAAAGATGACTGAACTGATGCCCGAAGGAAGAATTCTAATTTAGTTGTGTGAAGAGAGGAAGGCAGAATATTGCATTACTGAACAGCATGGGGAGAGGCCTTGAAACAAATGGGAGGAAAAGGACTCAAGCACAAAGAGGCCAATGTGGCCAGTACAAAGAATGAAGGGGAGTATGGTGCAAGATGAAGCTGGAGGAGGGTAGAGGTCAGATCTTGCAAGACTTTGTAGCTTTTACTTTAAGGCTGCTGGGGAAACCACCTGTNTTTTTTTTTTTTTTGCTTGGGGGATTGCTGTGGTGAGTGAGGTGGCTTGATCCCTCAGGCTTAGTGGTATGAACAGATTGGAGGAGAGATAGATGCAGATAGACCACTTAGATGAGAGATGTTGGCAGGGAGGACTGAGGTATTGGTGAAACTGCAGAGACCTGAACAGATTCGAGAACTGTGTAGGAGGTAAGATCAGTAGAATTTGTTGATGGATTGGATTCAGGGAGTGAAAAGGGAGGAGTCAACAGTAACTCCTAGGTTTCTGGTTTATGCAACAGAGCAGTTCTTTTTTGGCAGGGAAGGGAGATGTCATTCATGGCATCCAGGAGGCAGTTTGAAACGGCTTTGGAGCTCAGAAGTTAGAAATATAAATTTGGGAGTAATTTGCATATAGGTGATAATGGAGCTATAGGTTTGAGTAAGATCACCTAAGTGAGAACCTTGAGCTGTTGGTTTTATTGTCATGGAGCTCATGGTATCCTTAACAAGAGTTATTTTGTTGGTGTGATAGGGACAGAGGCCAGATAATGAGGCAAAGATTGGTATCAGGAAATAGAGGCAGTGAATCTAGAGAGTATTTTTCATACATATGATTGTAAAGGAGAGGAGAGGATGTGGAAGCTGAAGGAGATGAGGGATCATCAAGGTCCCAGTTGAGAGGGTGATGGGGAAATTGAATCTATAAGAGAGAAACTGGGTCATTGAGTGTTCTGAAAACATGAGAATGGATGAGATCCAAGTATAGTTAGAGGGAGCAGCCTTATAAAGATGGGCAATTTCTCCATTTAACAGAAAGGAAGATGGAAATAAAGGCAATACATATAGGTTGTTTGTATGTTTGGTATTGGTATAATGAATTCCTTCCTCATTGCCAGATCAGTAAGGGGACACATAAAATGAGTTCCAAAAGGTCTATAAAGCATGTTACCAATTTAATATTGGTCTGTGAACTTCTCTTTGTTTAAGAGGAGGGAGGACAGGGTTTTTTTCCAGTGGCATGCACATTAAAAAAATTGAATTCATCATAAATTTGTGGAGGTACAGTATAAACAATTTTTCCTTATGAAATATTTGAGAGTTAAGTTGCTGACCTGATGCCCCATCATTCCTGAATACTTTAGTTTTCCTACAAACAAGGACATTCTCCTTTATAACTACAATATTAATTACTAAATTGGAAAACTAACATTGCATTACTACCTCTATCATCAGGCCCTGCTTCTCCATTCTTGGGCACTGATACCCCATTCTGGGCTGCCCAATATATTGATGACCTCATTACGCTGCTTCCTACACTGGGTTGCTTTTCTTTGCAGATTTCCTCCTCAGCCAACATAGGCTCTGACCTCACTCTGGGCCACCATTCCCCTGCCACACCTACCATTCCCATACTATATATACTATTATACTATTTCTTTGCTCTGCCCCTTGCTTTGGGAAGGGGGTAGCTGATAACTGGGTCCCTGTTGTTTCCCTACATATTACAGTTACTTAAACGAATTCAAGTAAAATGAGGCACTTAAGGAGGATTTTCTGTTTCCAGAACTGTTGAAAAGCAACTCCAAATGGGATGTCTCAATCCTTGTCAATTTACTTGCTTTTTTAAGCCTACAGATGTAGTCCTGACTGAACTATATCTAGCTCAATGTTTTATAGCTCTTTTTAAAGCAGTAGAAATCTTTTTTTCCAAATGAAATCTTACATAGAAGTGTAATAGATAAATTGGATCAAAGCATAATACACTGTTAAAAGCTGGCCCTCTTCCTGTAATCTCCTTTCCTTTTTGCTATCACAGCCCACCCCAAAGAAGGAAGGTGGGAATTAGCAATAATCATTCTCTGCCTAATTACTGAGAAGCTCCTAGCTTCTCAATTGCTCTGTGTGGGACCCCAAATCTGGTCTTGGGGCTGTGCTCCCCCACCTGTGATATGGAGGCTCTCTGGTTTCTTGGCTTAGAGCCCTACTTCTTTGGCTTTCTTGAATCCTGTGGTCCCTAACTATTTCAGAATTAACTTTTTAAAAATAAACTTGAATTAACTGAGGAACTTCTGAATAGCCACCACAGAAGTCTAGGTTTCTACAGAACGTAACTTGAAAACTTTCAAGTCCCATTTTTTAAAAAATGTCAACTCTCTATTTTCCCCAAATTGTAAACCTATTACTGTTATATTTCATTTTTTCCCTCTAAAACACATGCCAGCTTTCTTCTTAAGAATTGCATAGGGTTTCTCAGGCTACTGTTCTACAGAAGGAGCAAACAGGAGAGCTTTAAATTAGTTGTTTATAGTCTAACCACAGCAGAAGTCTGTAAGAAACAACTTAAGGTGTTGTTTCTGTTTTTTTTATTGCTCTTCCCATGGCTTTTGTGTAGAAACGGACAAGTTATAAGATGTTTGAGCTCAATTTAGATGTTGTAGCCACTGATGTCTCTGTATTCTGTACTTCATTAGTGCTCCAAGGGTTGGAGGAAGTAAGGTCTCTTGATAGAGCCATTGCCTTCAGGTAAATAACCTGTGGTCTAGGATGTGAGGTGAGAGATGGGGCAGAGGGAAAAGGAGGCCTGGAGATGAGACTGCATAGCTGAGACATGGAAGAGGCGGGGTCCAACCAGGCTGTGATTCTTGGGTTTAACCTGTTTATCAGCCATTTCTTGAGAACTGACAAATCTGCCTGCACTTTACCTATGTGCTATTAATAAAGTAGTAAAAACCATCCCTGGTTGACTTAAGCAAAAAAGAGCAAGTTTATTAAAAGGATAGGTTGTCTTATGGAACTCAAGGACCTACTGAATTGTAATGTGCATTTTAACACGATTCAGAACTATTTAAATAAATATGATGGATCTAACAATCGATTATTAATGTAGGCATTAAAAAGCATGTGTGTGAATTACTAAAATATAAGAAAATAGCTGTTAATGAATGGTTTCATGATTACATTAAAACCACTTCTATATATATAGAAAAGTCTGAAAGGAAGTAAACAAAATTGAATTATGAATGATTTTCTCTTCATTATTAATGTATTATTGTCCTGAATTTTTAAAATAGGCATGTGTGTTTTAAATTTTATCAGGAAAAAAAAATTAGCTATTCTTTTTCTTTTGAAGTCACTTCAGATATAACACCTAACATAGTGGTTAAAAGCAGGTACTTGGGTGTCAGCCGGAGTTTGACTCTACTATTCCTGGCTTTTTTATGTAGGCACAGGAATTTGACCTTGGAAGCCTTGGTTTTTTTCATCTCTATGATAATAATAGAACCTGCATCCTGAGAGTTTTAAGGATTAAATGAGATATTGGAAGTTCAATGCTCAGCCCGGTGCCTTGACATAGTAAGTGCTTAATAAATAATAAATGTTAGTTAGTTCTTATTTCTATTATTCTTACCTTTTTTTTAAAGTTACACAGACATATGTGAAAGCCTTCTCTTGGCAAAAGAATAGCCACAATAGCAATTAAAAAGCAAAAAACAAACCAGTAGGCTAACAGTTTGGGGTAAGTATAAAATTGAAAAGAAATAAGGTCAAGGTTTCCAAAACTCCCCACAATTACAGTGGACTAAGAGAGTTGGATGAAAGTACACGGTGTTAAATCTAATACTATTCTGTAGAGGCTTATCTACACATTTCTTTAATGCAGATGTCTCTCAGATTGTTGTCTGTCTTATTTCTTTGTGATAGGACACTTGGATTAGTTTTCTCAGAAGAGAAATGGAGGAGCCATAGAACATTAAGGATGAATTCAGGAAGACCTGAGACCATGGAGAACTTGCCTGCTCTCTACACTATTTTCCAAGGAGAGGTATGTTCTTTTGGCTTTGAAAACCTACCATTTACATTAAGCATAGATTGAGGGTAAAAAGCAGATGGGTTTGGAGTTCCTGTCCACTGAGAATATCTTAAGCATTACAGTTTAAACAGGAAGGACTAGAGGAGTGTCTGGCTAGCACATGTATCTCCTCTAAGCTCCAGACCCTAACCGCATACTTGGTATATTCATTTGGATACCTTATAGTATCTCTATGTTTTAAACCAAGTTTTTAATTCTCTCACCAAATCTGTTCTCGTCTTTCCCATCTCAGCAGATGGAACCACTGTTCATTCAGCTATCCATGCTAGAAATCTGGTCACTGTCCTGGATGTCTCCTCTTGATTTGATCTTGATTTTTCCTTTTTCCTTCCCCCTCTAGTCTATGAGCAAGTCCTATCATTTCTTCCTCCCAAATATATCTGCCCTGTACACTTCTTCATCCCCACGGCACCCCATTAGTTTGAGCTCTCTATTTCTTGCCTGATCCTTCCTGGGACCTCTGTTGTAGTCACTCTCCATGTCTTCCTCACATTGCAGACAGAATGACATTAAAAAGTTAAAAAGACAGATTGGACCATGCCGCTTTCTCACAGCTCTTTTAGGTTTTTCATTATACTTGAGTACATCCAACCTTGTTTTCCTAACCCTTACATGACCTGGCCTCTGCCTACTCTTGACAATGTCGTTTTGGTCTTCTCTGCTCATTCTCAAGTCACACTGGGTTCCTTACAACTCCGAACATCCTAAGCTTGCTTCCTACTCAGGGCTTTTGTGCAAGCTATTTCCAACTACCCCACTCTCCCACCAGCTTCTCTTCATCTTTTAGGTTTCAACCCTAATGTCATTTCCTCTGATCCTTTTCCCACCATAAAGAAATAGGCTCACCCTGAATTTTTATACTTGTTTAATATCTGTCTTTCTCACAAGACACTAAGCTTCATGAGGGCAAAGCCCTGAGTGTTTTGTTTGCTGTTGTATACCTCAATCCCAGGTAGGTGGGTAGAAAATAATAGGTGTTCATTAACACTCTGTATGGGAGAAGGCATTGTATTTGTTTAGAGAGCCGAGAATTTGGAACCAGATGAAACCTGGGTTCCAGTCCTAGCTCTTTCACTGTGTGATCCTTGAGACCATGACTTAACCTCTTTGAGCCACAGTTTTCTTATTTGTTGAATGGAGATAATAACTCTATCCTACAATAGGATTGCTGTGATGGTTAAATAAGCTATAATCTATAAAAACACAATGCCTGAGACACAATAGGAACTCATTTACATTATCTCCCTCCTCTTGAAGCAAAAGTAGAGCCAAGAAATTATTTTCAGTGTCTTAAGAGTGTCTGTAGTATTTTAATGATAGCATACTTACAGTATGCAAACTTGCTTTATGGTTTATAAGTAATGTCAGGCCTTTGAAGACAGACTTTGTGACTGTCAGTTGGTTTATAAATAATTGTGGCTCTTGACTTCTGTTAAGTCAGTCCCAACTTGTAATACAAAGTCAAGATACAAAGGATAATAACATTCTAGGAAATAGCAAACAATTCTGTTCTTTAGAGCCTTTGTCCTTTTTCTTGAAAGCCCATGGTATCCCCAAAGGTCAGTGAGGTACTAGGATTCAGAAAAAGGAAGTGGTAGCACTGGAGAAGAGACTGGTTTTTCTGATCATGAAGCCTTGTCAGGTGTTGCACAAAAGGCAGAGAAGAGAGCTTTCTTTGCCCTCCCCAGACGGACTTAGATTTCTGACAGGGGTCCTGACCTACATACAGCTTTTTAAATGAGATGGGGCTTGATTTAATATAGGCTTATATTTTACCATCAAGGACAGATGGGCTAGGGAAACGTTTAAGGGGAACTTTTATGTTCTAGCTCAGTATTTCAGGAGCAAATTTTGAAAAATAATGGCCTAGAAATGCTGGAAATAGACAAAGAGAAATTTCTTGATAAATTGTAAAGAAGAAACTTTTTCAGAATATTCATTGAACAAACATTTAATACGTGCCTAATATTTATAAAAAAAAAAGAGACCTAATTACATTAAAATTCAGAAACATTTTATAAACCTAACATATGACAGCACTTTCATGCATTCTGTGTCACTGACGCTCTCCCAAGAAATTGTTAACCCCATTTTATGGATGAGGACACCTTTTTTTTTTTATTAAGGTATCATTGATATACACTCTTATGAAGGTTTCACGTGAAAAACAATGTGGTTACTACATTCACCCATATTATCGAGTCCCCCCATACTCCACTGGAGTACACTCTTCTTAAAATTCAGTAATTGCCCAATCATTAGTAAATGGCAAAGCTGGGATTCTAAATCTAGTCCTCTGTCCAAGTCTACTTTCTGCTAAATTGCATCTGTACATAAATGCATGAAGGAACCAAAAGAACCATGAGAGAACTCTTGACTGAATTGAGGTACAGGAGGAAGGTAGATGGTAAATCTGGTTATTCCAGTCATTTGTTTGTTCCTCAGTTATGGCATTTATCCGTCTGTCTTATACTGCTGTTACTTGTACGTGTGTCTGTCTCCTCCACTAGTTTTTTAGTTACAGGAGAGAGAAGGCCATGGTTGTCTCATGATCTTGGTAACTACTTCAAATTCATTTTAAAATAGGCTGGGCCTCTCCTTTTTTAAGTTGTTTTTATTTCACAGTGCCCAACATGGTATCTTGCATATAAGTGATGAGTAAATGTTTGAATAAAATTGAACCTAAGCCTCTTTGGACCAGTTGTCCCTGAAGGAATTGGTGGTACAGCCCATAACCCGCAGTGCTTCTCTTAGTAGGCTCAGCAGGGATGGGGGATGGATAGCCGAAAAGCCAACATTCATCCTCCTCTTACCTCTCAGAGGCAACTTGGCATTGGAGTCCATTCAACATGTATGGGGTATAAGCATAGCAGTGGGAGTCGGGAATTGGCTCAGCCCAGCCATAGTCAAAGAAATGCTAAGGGGACATTGATGTTGGTAAGTTGAAAACAGTACTGGTCTAGAAGTAAAAAAAACATCTGTTCTGGCCATGCTACTTGCTAACTTTGTGACTTTGGACAAGTAACTTACTCTCTAAGTCTCAAGTTGTTTATGTCATAGGGATGAATAGTTTCAAGGCCAATGCAACCTCTAATCTAATCTAATAATGAAGTTCGTAAATTCATTTTACACAAGCCTTGAGTTCAATTGAGGTAATTACTGAATTTTTTGCCCCTGAGCTATTTGACTAATTATTCTTGGGACACCAGGCAGACTGCGTGATTATCTAGGGCAGGTGCCATTCTGTTAACTTCAACTGTGACTGTACCCTAGGAGATACAGTGATGGAAAACCTGGTACTGGAAATAGCAAGGATGCTTTTTCTTAACTGAACAGTTAAGTGCATACATTCTGGAGCACATTAACCTCCCCTTTTGGGAAAGGCCAAATTAAAATCTGTTATATTTCCTCAGAAGATAATAATGTGACACTGGAGATTAATGATTTAAAGTGAGATTGTCTTTATTTACAGCAGTAAGGCGATTTTGGGCTCCAACTTCCAGGTGCTACTTTTAAGTTTGTTAGATAATTATGTCCTTTTAATAATGTTGTTTTGCAATAGAAAATACCTCAACCCTCTTTCTAGAACTGTGGAGCAAAAGCCAGTCAAAGTACTTGTAGTTGATCCAGAAGGAAGAATGGATTTGCTTATTGTAATTAAAAATTCGAAGCCTTATCTTTTTATCCATGTGGCCCTGTTTTACAGAGAACAACTTGGCTTTGTGGGTGAGCACATCATGTCTCTGGTTTTTACTTTTCTCATTTGAAAATGACAGGATTGGACCAGCTAATCTCTAAAGTCCTTCCTCCAGTTCTACCTTGCCTCGATTTTAAGTATCTGCCTGATTGTACTGTTTCTTTAAGACTCTCTGAGTCCCTATCCCAGCTTAGTATATTCATCAGTGTAAAACAGGAGTTTAGAATTTTTGGTTCTTAACCCATTAATGCTGTATCTTAGAGAGTTAGTTCAAGTGCCCATTAAAAATCAAGGAGAAAGAAAGTTTTTTTCCATTTCCATGCTAACATTGAAGTGAATAGTGATGATCTTTGCTGAAGTAGGAGGCACTGGACTAGGAGTCAGGGACGTAGGTTCTGTGCCTGGCTTGTTTCTAAGTTCCTTGTGTGCGTTTTCACTAGTCAGTAACCTTTCTGTGCTTCAGTGTCTTGGACTGCAAAGTATTTAAAAGCTACAGTTTATTGAATGTAGATTAGGTACCGGATACCAGTCGAGTCGATGACACACTTTATATACATCATTTGTTATCTGCAGCAGCAAAGTGAATGCAGATGGGAACTAGGGCCCTGAAAGGCAAGTTGTGTTTAAGATTCCACAGGTAAGAAGTGGCAGAGTTGGGATTAGAAGCCACCTCTTTCACAGGTCCAAAATCTGTGCTCTTTCTGTTCTGCCTCATCTACAACATGGGAACCTACTATGTATACTTCTGAAGATTGTCACCAGGAACAGATAAAATGTCAAATGTCATGTTGCCTTTGGCCGTTAGAATTTTATAGTTAAAAGAAACCCATGAGCAGTTCTAGTGTAGTTAGTTACATTCACTGGGTTCACATTCTAGCTCTGCTACTTACTAGCTTTGAACATAGGGTAATTACTTAGTCTTACCATGCATCACTTTTGTCATTTATCAAATGAAAATAATAATAGTACCAACATCACGTGGTGTCAGGATTCTGTAAAGCACTTTGAATAGTGTTTTGCATGTAGTAAGTATTTAGTCTATGTTAATGAATAGTAGTACAGCAGGAATTGTCTTACTTATGTGCCTTGTTTTAGTTCTGGTGAAGCTGAGACAGTGATTGTCCAAGATGTAGCAACTAATTAAGGTCACTGAACAAAATGAAGTGTAGGTGTGTAAGATTGTATTGAATAGTTTACAAATAATAATGAATTTAGTGATAAATATGGAATGTAGGGACAACATTAATCCTAATCCACAGTTTGGGGTTGGGCTAGAAGATAGATGGGAAGTAGAAGTAGAGTCTGGGATGTTGGTTTTCCTGGCAGGTGCTCTGGCCTTTCATTACTACTACACATTACAGAGACCCAACAAACCTCTGACTTCTCTGTCATAGGTCAGCTCTACTACAGACTTGGGGACAACTCTTTTTCTCTCTGATTGCATCTTTTCAGGTTCTGTCAGAGGTCTCTATATTGGCTTTTTCTCTAATTGTTTTGCTAAAATCCAAGGTTCTCATTTGGAGTGAGATAGACTGTATAATCTGGTTTGATTTTAAGTTTAGGGGAAAAGAATGTCCTACACGATCCATCCCAAATTACTAAGTTCTCTGTATTGGCTTGGAGGTCTCTGTCTAGCTACTAGAAAGTATAACTTTATTGTCTGACTTTCTGCTCTATGTTCTGTTTGTTCAGTTACTTCTTTTGGGGATTTTAATAGATGTGGAATTTGGGCGTTCCTAGGTGCTATCAAGCCATCTGATGACACTCCATTCTCACCAATGTTTTTAATGTGTTTACACATTTCTGCCAGGCTAAATTTCAAAAAGAATAGACAGAACATCACTTTTAGGCAGTTTTGCTCCAGACAGAGACCATCAGTACCAAGTAGAAATTCAGAGAGGCTAGATTAAATGTTACAGAAGAGAGAGTCTCAATTTGTGTGACATTGATTCTTTTTTTTTCTTTATAGGTTGCTATGGTGACAGACTATGGAGCCTTTATCAAAATCCCAGGCTGTCGGAAGCAAGGTGGGAGCCTATACCTTGAAATTCAGCCCTACCATTTCACTCTCTCTGCTGTGACCCCTACCACATGCTAATTTCAGGCTCTGTACTTTTCAGACGTTAGTTTTGTTTTTGTTTTTAGTATAGAAATATAAATACAGACAAATGATAGTTCATTTCCAGCAGGTTCTATTAACTCCGCTAGAGTGGTATTTCTGTGACTTGGGCCAGGGTATAGCTAACTCTTGGTTCACTCTTGGAACTAGCTCTTCCCTAGATTTTACTTGTGACCCTAGGCAAGTCACTTGACCTCTTTAGTCCAGGATTTTGGGGAGGGCAAGTTACTTACTCTCCAAGGCTGACATTGGGAGTTTTCTAGTACAAGGCACATGAAACAAAAATAGTACTGTAACCAGTACATATAGTATTATACATGTAATGCTTTAAATTTTCTTTATAAGTTGGTAGGCATTTGTTGAACATTTTTGGAGACTCTCTTTCACATCTATAATCTTACTTGTTTCTCAGAACAGTTGTGTTAAGTGGAAAGGCAAACTCCACAGATTTGATGGCCTGCTCAGAGGCCTTGACAAAGGATTAATAAAAAAGGGGAAGTAGAAAAGGAGGCTAAGGGTATGAAAAGAATTCACAGGAGAAGAAATAGCAATTGGTCAATAAATATCTTAAAAGATGCTTATTCTTGGTACTGATTTAAAAATAACTTAAACAGTGGTACATCCGTAAAATGGATTACTACTCGGCAGTAGAAAGGATTGAGAATGAAGTATATGAAACAACCTGAATCCATCTCCACAGACTTATGCTGAGTGGAAAATATTAATCCCAAAAGGTTATATACTTGATGATTCTAATATGTAACTTTTTTTTTTAAGAGTTCTATGGAGATCACATACCATTTTACCCAGAGTGTATAAGTCAGTCATTTTTTTTTGAATATTCACAGAATTTTGCAATCATAATCTAATTTGAGAACATTTTTGTCAGGCCTAAAAGAAATCCCACTCCTATTAGCAGTCACTCCAAATTTCCTATTCACTCTCTCCCAACTCCACCCCATGCTAAGCCTTAGGCAACCACCAGTCTACTTTCTACCTTTACATATGTACCTATTCTGCACATCTTTTTTAAAAGGAATCATACAACATGTGGTCTTTCGTGATTGGCTTCTTTCACTTGTTTTCAGGGTTCATCCATTTTAAAGCATACATCAGTACTTAATTCCTTTTTATTGCCATTCCAAAATGTAATACGGAATCAGTAACCAGTTCTCCAGTTCTCTAATTCTTTGATTCTCTGATACTAGCTGGGTATCATACAATTCAGTTGAATTCTGACACTAACTACCCAGAGGTAGCATCAGACTCCATGGGTTAAGGGCATAGACCCATAAGACTGCCCTCACCTCAGTTACCAGTTGCAAGTATTGAGTCCCCAGGTTTGCACATTTCTGTCAGATTTGCCTACAAATTTGAAGATGCCCATATCACCCTCCCAGGTTTTGGCAGTTTGCTAGAACAACCACAGAACTCAAGAAAATGCTATACTTACGATTATAGTTCATAATAAAGGATACAAAAATGAGTAGCCAGATGAGGAAATACGTAGGGGGAGGTCCAAAAGGGTCCCATGTGCAAGTCCTGCAGTTGAGATACATCACCTTCTTGGCACATGGATGTGTTTGCCAACTCAGAAGCTCTCCAGACCTTATCGTTAGGGGTTTTGGTAGAGGATCCATTATGTAGGCACAATTGATTAAATCATTGGTCGTTGGTGATTTGGCTCACACGACAGCTCCTCTTCCCTCCCTGGAAGCCAGGAGATCAGGCTGAAAGTTCCAACCCTCTGGTCACATGTTGGTTCCTCTGATGGTTACCAGCCCCACCTTGAAGCTTTTCTAATAGTCACCTCATAGCGTAAACTTGGGTATGGTTGAAAGAGGATTGTTACGAATAACAAGATGTTCCTATCACTCAGGAAGTTCCAAGAGTTTAGGAGATCTGTATCAGGACCAGGGACAGTGGCATGGCTTTATTATCCAAGGGTCAGTGGTTGGACTTTTTTTAAAAAAATTTTGTGTTTTAAAAAATTGCAAAAGGTGAAAATCCATCTTCCATGAACATCTCTCCCCCCAGCAAACACAGTAGCCGATACCCTATCATGATGGTGTACTGTAGTTTTGCAAAATGTTACCATTGAGGAAACTGTGTAAAGCATACACAGGACCTCTCTGTATGCTTTCTTTTGACATGTGAATCTATTATTATCTCAAAATAGTTTTTAAAAAGTGATTTAAAACACTCGTAAGATCTTTAAGATTAACAGATATTAAAATGATTGCTATTGATACCCAGTGTTAGAAATGGTATTTCCAACAATAGTTTTACTTAACTACTGGGAGCATAAATTGTTACATATTTTGGCAATGCCTATTAACATTTGTAATACACTTACCCTTTAACCCAGCAATTCTTCTGCTGCATAGAATTAGGCAGATTATGTATATCTAGGCAGGACTAGAAGATGATGAAAAGAATGGTACCATATTTCTAACATGCTCTGATGCCGGTGACTTCTTCATTTTGCCAGAAAGGGTCAGTAGAAAGTTTTCATATGGTTCTACCCACACTGATGATACCTGACTGATAGCAGCTTTAAGATACCTTTGATTATAAGAAACAATTTGACTTCAGAGATGTTAAAATGAGGTGAAAAAGGGCATCTTTGAATTAATGAAACGGCGTACATTTCAGTTTACTGAAATGGAAAGATGTCCAGGATAATAAAATGAGAAGCATGTGGCTGAAGAGTTTGTATAGCATGACTCTACCTGCCTTTTAAAGCATGTCTACATTTGCTGATGTATTTATGAAATCATAGCATATGTTTAGAAGAAAGTCTGGAAGAATATTCAACAAGTTGTTACAATGGCTACTTCTGGGGAGTTCAGTTTGCTAGGGGAGAGATGTACATGGAAGAGGGACTTTAACTTTGCAATTTTTAAATACAAATTTTTCTTTAAAAAGAGTCCAATTGCTGATCTTTAGATAATAAAGCCATTTCTCTAACCTTGAAGACTACTGTGCAGCAAATTGCATCTTGGCCTTAGAAACAGCTTACCAGCAGTGTCCAAGCTAGCAATCAGTGACTGTAATAAAGCTTTTCATTTTACGTTGGCTGGGATTTAATGAGGAGGAACTCATCACCATCCCTGTAGGGCGGCACCTCTTTTGGTCTAAAGACAGATTTCCTTGTTAGTGTACTTGTCATAGCTGTCAGTACATGAAAGTCCCATCCTTACTTGAGCACTTATGGGACACTCTGGGGACTCTGTGGGGGTTAAAGGCCTGCCACCTTCCAGCAGTCAGTCTTCAACTCACTTGTGTCCTGATTCTGTCAGGTGACGCCTCTGAATGTGGCTGCCAGTTTATGAATGAATTTGTTAGTCTGACAGCTGTGCTGAGACAAGCCTCAGAGAGGAGCTCAGGGGGCCAAATAATTAGGGGCAAACTGTGAGTTCTAATCCTGAGCTCTTCTGTAGGTTTATTAGCTAATTTAAGCAGTTGTATTTTGAGTTCTTTGCTCTTTAAGGAGGAAGGTTATTAAGTCCCCCTGAAAGGACTGAGTTGTGAAATAACTGGTCTCCAGATTTTAACATTTTGATTCAGGAAGGTAGACTGTAATTTGAATTATTTTTCTTAAACTTTTGTTCTCAGACTTCTTTAACTGCTATTGAATTGAAGACCCCATCCTTGTATTCAGATCTAAACTAGAATTTCTTTCCTCCCTTATAGTATTTTTTCTCTACTACCCTCTGCCCACCAGTACTAGAGTATAACATTCTGAGAGCAGATTGTTCAACATTATACTTTCAAAGTGCCTTGCTTATGGTGGAAGCTCAAATATTTTTTCAATGAATTCAGTTTAACAAATAATTACTGAGTCCTGTTTTCTGGTCACTATGCTAGGTGGATAGACAGAGATAAGAAAACATAGTCCCTGCTGCTCTCAGATTGTTTTCTAGAGATGTAAACAAATTATAATATAGTGTAATAAAATGAGTGAAGTTACACTTACCCACTAAGCTGTGGATTAGTCAGGCTATTGGGATGTCACGGCCTAAAGCAGTACCTAAGTTATAGAGGTACAGTAGTTCAGTACATTTTATTTAATGAGTAAGTGAATTCTAGTCTCTGCTCTACCGTTTACTAGCTTCTTGATTTCAGCAACTTGCTTAGTCCTTAAGCATTTATTTGCTTATCTATGAAATGGAAATGATGTATATATTTTAGAGTTTCTTGGCTGGGGGGATCATGTTTTACTCATCTTTGGATCCATTTTTGCCTACAGTGTAGTGGATGTTTAGTAAATGTTTGAATGAATCCTTAGTTCCAACAAGATGAAGGATGTGAAAGCACTTTAGCTTATGTGCTTACATTATTGTCATACAGCATTGATTGGAGATAACTTATTTGAAAAGTCTAGAAAGGAATTTAAGTCCTCCAAAGATAAAGGAGACCTTTTATGTTGATTTTTTTGGCTGCAGCTATCCCCTAATGGTTTATAATTTTCACCTTTCTCCTTTATTGTCAGTGGAAGTTGAGAAAGAAATAAATGTTGAACAATACAGTTGGGAGAATATTTTTAAGGGAACAATAATAGACTAACTTTGTTTTTCTCATGATGATTGAGATGCTGGCTCTCTCCAAGTTGTCAGAATTTTTTTTTCCTATTTTACCAGCAGACTCAGATGGGATTCATTCTGCTTAAGTATCATGTTGGGTTTATTGAACATTATGATGGACTTAATATGCCTTTTGGACATTTGTGTCTTCATGTCAGGAATCCAGACACAAAACTGTTCTGAAGAACTCCTTTCCATGTGGTACGACAAACAAGCATTTTTGTTTGTTTGTTTCTGTTTGTTTTGGAGCATATGCTAGAACAGAATTAGATGTGTTTCTGCTATTTATAGATGAGATCATCTTTTTTTTTAATTTAAAAAT